TGCCCTGCAGGCTACCACCTTGTGCTGCCCTGCAGGCTGCCACCTCGTGCTGCCCTGCAGGCTGCCACCTCGTGCTGCCCTGCAGGCTGCCACCTCGTGCTGCCCTGCAGGCTGCCACCTTGTGCTGCTCTGCAGGTTGCCACCTTGTGTGATGCCCTGCAGGCTGCTTGAGCGGCAGCCTTTCGAACTTATCGAACTTATTAGCCACATCAGCGGCTCCGACCTATTAATAAACTCCGCGTTCAAATCCAATAAAATTTGTTTTCTACATTTGTGGCGCCCATTGGAAAACATAAACACACTGAGATATCTCAGAATATTGACGTCAGCCCCCCCAAAAGTCAAAATCCTGGCTCCGCCCCTGCGCGGGGGTAAGGATCAGAGTTGCAAACTCACATTTTGCAAATACGACTGCTGTATCCATCGCTAATTTTCCACTTCAGGATATATAATTGTGAGAGGAACTGTACAGGTGAGCACAGATTAAAGAACAACGCGATGCACTTCGCTTGCAGAGTTGGTCTTCGCAAACGCTAAGCAGCACATCAAACCCGATTAATCATCAGTAGAATGTTGTGACGTACACGCTCCGCCACCCAACACAGCCAATTAATAAAGTGGTCGCGTGAACAAACGTGCTAAAGTAGTGCTGCTTCAGCAGCATCGCCGCCGGTGCGCTGGGGAGAGCGATCCGCACGCGTTTAACGATGGGGTATGACGTTTCGCTGATAGTTACCGCCAGCATCATCAGGCAGTTCACCCGAATTGTGAAAGAAACATCCTCGTCGGGGGTCGACTCGGCCATCGTCTCACTGTGGACAATTAAAATGATCACCGCTAGGTGGGCAAGTCAACAGTGGTTGCCCTACGGATAGACTCGCCCCCGTCATAAGAATGCGGAATTTTGACCATTTTGGCTCTGCAGGGTTGTAAGCGTGAGATGAGCACCGGTGGCTCAATGCTCACTTGAGAAGCAAATCAAGGTGACCATGCGACAGCAAGCGAGATTAATTTACTACGTGGGCCTTCGCGACCAATGTTGCAATTCATAATTCGTTTATTTTGTGTTGGGTCGTGAAGGTATGAGCAATTGATGTATGTTAACTATAACCCTCCACCACCCAACAGAGCCAATCAAATCAAGTTGTCACGTCGTGAGAAAATGTGCCAAGTTATTTGTTTTTTTTTCGGCAAATCTAAACATTGAAGATAATTTTAATCAGTGTCAACAAATATAGTTTGCAAGCAAGATCATATGTCCCGGACCACCAGCTCGCTTCTGACGGGTAGCTCCGACGCTGCGGGCTGTTACAACACGTGCCATCCGAGTGTACGATGATGCATACTTTGACAGTGACGGTGACCAGATGTTATCTCCCTCGCCTGGTATACAGGAGGTCGTGGGTTCGATCCCAACCTTGACGCCTGCATGTATGTTTGGAGTTTGCATGTCTCTCGCGTGGATTTTTCTCTGGGTCCTCCGGTTTTCCCCTCCACATTAAGAATCAACGTCACATGCTTACAGTTTTTGGCTGCTATACATTTCCACGTGATGATAAGCCACTTCGTTGTTGAGCTACCATTTGTGATAGCCAGGACGCTTCTGAAAAAGAGCTACATAGCTCAGTGGTCCTTACCGGGTAAAAATAAAAAATAGTTTAGAGTTTAGTTTTAGTCAAAGTGTCAGTGGGCACGAACCTCATCATCATCTTCACCGACCCTTGCCTCCAGAGCGCTGAACCAAAGGTGCATACACAACCACTGCACCCACCCATCCATCCTCCTGTGTGCCGTGCCAGCCTCAGCAGATACCAGCTAAAGAATAATAGTGATCATTTAAAATTCTAAAGCGCCACCACACAAGTCCTCGCTCGTTCTCTGAGAGAAAGAGAGAGAGGAAGACTCAGAGGCGCGAGGATGGACGGCATATGAGCGGGAAAGGCAGCAGCCACATTGTGAGCTGGTGCAAAATCCCCCCACAAAGCTACGCGATCCTCTATATATTAACTATTTTCCATTCAGATGACGTAGTATACATAGGTGTACGCCAACAGGTTTTTTTCCATGATTACGTTCCGATTATGTACACGTACGTGACGTACACGTACGTCATTGGAACGGAATCAGACGAAAAATTAAAATAATATCACTTTATCTGTACATCTTCAGGTTGGAAGACGTACCGAGACTCCCATAAGGCCATGCGGGAGGGCGTGTGGCACAGTTTGGCGCCAGCTACCGTAGAGTGCGGTCTAGTTGCTACGGTTCTCTGTGGTGAGTAAAATGTCTTTAAAAATTGCGGTGCTACGCCTCTCTAATAAAATTTACAATCACCGCTTGCGGGTTCCGAGATTCAACGGTGAACGGGACCCACCCTGCAACTTGTTGGATGCATGGTCTTGGACGCGCATCCCATAAACTATTCAGGCTCAGACCTGCTTGGCTTCCGAGATCTGTAGAAATTTGGTCATTGGCTTAGGAAATAATCAAGGTCTCTAAGCATTAAATTAATTAAGAATCCATTCACAAACATACCTTAACACATCAACGTGTCCCATACGCGATTAGCCAAGGTCTGCAAGGGTTTTGACTTTGGAGGAAGTTGGAGGAAGGCTACTTGTGTTGTGGCCGAAACGTCGTGAGAATTTGATTGTTATTATTATTTTTATTATTTTATCTCCATTCTACGTGACTTTACCGAAAGAACCCAGAAGATGAATCCCTGCAGTCACGAAAGCTTTAAATTAAAAATTATGTGTTTATTGTCGTTGCTAAACAGTTCTAACCCAGTAAACATGGATCCGATGGGACAACGTTGGTCCAACAGTTCCAACCACGTGCCAACATTGGCATATTTACTGAGAAAGGGCGAATATTTAAAGCAGTCGTCCAGCTGTCGCATCGGTAATAACAAGGGAGTTGAACCTAACTGAAAACCATAACCGATAATCAGAAAATAACCATTTGTTAAAGTGTTCGAACCGTCCACTCAAGATCCGAACTGAATTTAAATGTTATACCCAGAAACTAAAAACCATTCCACCAGATTTGGGTGAATAATTTTTCGAGGCATGCTTAGAGTCATGTCTCATCTGTCAACAGTTGTCTTATCAACTGTGGCCGCACATCATGCATGATCCTTTCCTCATCCGAATACCAGGAGTGCACTTTGCAGCAGTCGCTCAATGAAGAGCGCCTTTAACCTTTGGATGCACACAATAGTAGGAAAAACACAAAAGAAAGATGTGATTATTGTTCGCACTTCGACAAGCTAATGGCCTGCAATGAGCGGAATTGGGGACTGCACATATATGGTTTCCGGAGGCCACCTTACTTGCAGTGGGCATCGGTGACTATACCCAGCCGATGAGTCCTGATTTATTTGGGCCACTCGTTCCTGCGTTTTACCCATTTTTAGAAATCTCCCGCCACGAAGTTCGGGCCAGAGGTTGTTGAGGGTTGTCTTCCACTTCGGTGGGGGCGCGAGCTCGAGGAAATCACATCTCCTGGGAGCCGCCGCCGCCGCGGCAGCGGAAGCAGCAGGAGGAGGCCGACGTCGCTGGTGCAGACGTTGAGAAGCGGCTGAGCTCATCGTTTAGGACTCGGGGTGGGGGTGGTGGGATGAACCGACTTGGCCGCATAGGTTGGACCCCGCGTCCCGTGCTTGTTGAGTTTCGCCCGTCGTGGAGGCTCAGGATCTTCGCCAGCTTCAGCATCTGGCCTTGTAATCGCAGATGACACGTTGGTAAATACAGCGCCGGGCTTTAACAACCTTCTCTGGAATCCCAGCGTTGATGTTTTTTTTTTACTGTGATGGACAATACTTGATCGCAACGGGTGCTGTGTTGTATTGAGGCTTTGGGCACTGTAAACTACGCAACTAAACAACTTTCATTTTACCAGGTAAAGCCCACTGAGCTATATAGCTCTTTTTCAGAAGCGACCTGGCCACAAATGATAGCGTAATGAAGTGGCTTATCACGTGGAAATTTACATCAGCCAAATACTCTAAACGCGGATGTGGGTTCTAAATGGTGGAGGGAAAACCCGGAGGACCCAGAAAAAAATCCACTCGACCACGGTGAGAGAGAGAGAGAGACGCAAACTCCAAATATACAGCAGCAGGCGTCAGGGTTGGGATTGAACCCACGACCTCCTGTAAACCAGGCGACGTAGTTAACATCTCCTAGTCACCGTGATGATGAGAAAGACACGCAAACTCCAAATATACAGCAGCAGGCGTCAGTATCGGGATCGAACCCACGACCTCCTTCACACCAGGAGAGGGAGTTAACATCTCCTAGCCACCGTGGCGCCCCCTATTCGCTGGAGGGTTTGGCACTCGGGCAGTTTGAAGGCCGTACACAGCAGTGATGTCGGCCGGCGGCATTCCAGGGTCATGGCCTGGTTTCCCCAGTTTCGGTCGGGCAACAACGGCAGTGGCAGACAAGGAATGGGACGCATCCAAGAGCACGCACACTGAGAAGACGGAGCACTGAGATCATTTCATGTGCAGGTGCACATGGGTCGATGGTCACATCGCAGGATGAGAGGTAGTGTCGGCTTGGGGAAGCCTTCAGCCAGTGCCATCGCTGTTGCTGCTGATGTTGATGATTTCGTAGTGTATTGCCAGAACTGCGGCAAACCCTCGTGCTTTGCGAGAGGTGGCTGCCCGAATTAAACCGAGTGATGGCGAATGCAAATTCCGATGTGCTCAATATTCATGACACTGCAATAATGCTTCAATGAGGCAGGGCCGATCGCAAAATCCGGAATGTTCTTGCTCACCAGGTTTGCTCACGCACTGCTCATTCAGGAAGGATCAGGGGGTCCCAAAAAAAATCTCAAATTTCTCACCTTGGCCGTGCACACCCCCACCCCAAGGCCCCCACCACCTCCCACCGCGAGCTTTGCCACCCCCTCACCACCACCTCCACCCACTCCTTCCTCCTTACCCAAACCAACGCACCTTTTTACCTGCTGCGCAAAGACTGCGTTTTAACGAAGGTGCGTGGGTATAAATAGGGCACGCCTGGCACAGGGTTTATTCGCCTCTCCGGTGTTCAACATCGCTGGCGAAGCATGGCAGGTCACTCGATGCTGGCCCTTCTGTGGCTCAGCCAGTTTTACGTGTTCGCGTTGGTTGGTAAGTGTGCACATGCGTATGTGTATGTATATGTGTGTATGTGCGCACACGTGTGTGTGTGTGCACGTGTACACGTATGTGGAGGAGCGGTGACGCAGCGGTTAGCGCGCTACGAACCCGGCAATTCTCGCTCACGGTCAACACCAGTGACGATTATCTGATCCGGTTCTGGGCCTCCCCTAGGTCGGCTCAGCATCAAATTTGTACAGTATCCATTGGAGTGCGTAAACATCGCCACTTGGGAGACAAAGGCGGCCGGGCGTGGTGCTGGCCACCCACCCCCTCGTGTGCCGTGCCGGCCTTCATAGGTGCTCGCTAACAGCACTTGCCCCAACAGGCTGTTAAGGCTACACGGGGGATCTTTGTCTTTGTACATGCATGTGCGCATGTACGTGTGGAGGGAAAACATTTGAAGTTTGGTGGGGATCAGAAGTCACGGTGACCTGTCGAGTAGGTAAGGGGTCTTGGAAGAATATTCATTCAGGGGATAGCGTCCTCACTTTAAAGTTCTCAAATTAACTTGCATGACATTGTCTATGTGTTCAATATGAACCTGTACCAAATGTGTGTGCATATCTATATCGCTTGCAGAAATGGGATGAAATACAAATTAGATATACTGCGATCAATTAACCTTGTCTCGTGTAATTTTCGATACAAATCATGCAAAGAATTTGAACTGCAAAATGTAGATTCCCAGCGACAATTTAACAATCGAATTAAAGTGCGTATTTTAATTACATTTAAGTTATACTGCCCATCTCTCGTCACGTGGCAGACGTTATGCACAACAAAGCACATTTGATCAAATTCCACGTTGAATGGTGAATTGGAGCAAGGTCATACCTGGGGGAAATTTAAGACATTGGCGATTGAATACATGGGCCCTGCATTGTTACTGCGTTTGGTAGCCATCAGCTGAGCGATGATGACGGTGAAGATCGTGATGATGATGCTGATGATAAGGTGGTGAAGGCAGGGCGGTGAGGATAGGGTGGTGAAGGTAGGGTGGTGAGAGTTGGGCGGTGAGCGTTGGGGGGTGAGGGTAGGGCGGTGAGGGTAGGGCGGTGAGGGTAAGACGGTGAGGGTATGGCGTTGAGGGTAGGGCGGTGTGGGTTTGGGGTGAGGATAGGGTGGTGAGGGTAGGGCGGTGAGGGTATGGCGGTGAGGGTAAGGCGGTGAGGGTTGGGCGGTGAGGATAGGGCGGTGAGGGTAAGGCGGTGAAGGCAGGGCGGTGAGGGTATGGCGGTGAGGGTAAGGCGGTGAGGATAGGGCGGTGAGGGTATGGCGGTGAGGGTAAGGCGGTGAGGATAGGGCGGTGAGGGTAAGGCGGTGAGGATAGGGCGGTGAGGGTAAGGCGGTGAGGGTAAGGTGGTGAAGGCAGGGCGGTGAGGATAGAGCGGTGAGGGTAAGGCGGTGAGGGTAAGGCGGTGAGGATAAGGCGGTGAGGATAGGGCGGTGAGGATAGAGCGGTGAGGATAGAGCGGTGAGGATAGAGTGGTGAGGGGAGCTCGTTCGCCACTAGTTTCAGAGGTTCACGATTCGAATCGAGCGGCCGCCTCGACTCATAGCGTATTAGCCGTAAAATTACTACGCCAGTCCACTTCGCTCATGGTGGACGTTAAAGATCCCCTGACGTCATTCACGGGAGTGGACCATTTTGTGCCACCGGTGTAAGTCATGGTCCACCTTCACCAAATTTTAAATATGACCAACAAATCACTGCATTGTAATTATTGCCCCTACTGTGAAACACTTGGCAGTCGAAAGAGTCGTAAGATTCAGCGGGCCTCTACTGGGTAAATAAGCATATATACAAAAAAACAATCATAGTAATATTATTTCAAGTGAACTTGACTCTGTTGATGAGACACTGGCTGTCAAGGCTTGTATTGAACTAATGCTGCTGATGATAAGGTCGTGCAGAGCAGATGGGTTGTGAAGAAAATACTTTTACTTTGTATGCAGGGAGACAAACATGGGAAGGAGGCATCATTTACGTTAACCATAATTACGCTCAATAATTTTTTGCCTAAAAAGAATAAATAACTTACAACCCTTTTCAATCTACTGATGGACGAGGGGCCTTCCCTGCGCTGTGTCAGTCATCAGGGATGTTTGACCATATTTCACCACGCTGGTAAGTGCGGGTTTGTGAAAATGGTACACAGGACTGGTTCGGATATCACTCGCTGCTGATGCTGGCCGTGGCGGAGAAAGTAATATTGTATGAGTGCGCGCGTGTTTTCTCCACAAAATTTGCAGGAATCAGTATGTAATCGCTACCCCCCCCCCCCCAAAAAAAACAATATTGCACCATCCAAAAGTTCCTGGCCCCGCAGTAGCAGAGGCGGCGGTGGGGGTGGGGGGAGATGGAACTTAGCGCCGGGCACTGAATTGTCAACAGCTACTCAGCTACTCCAGCTGTGCATAAAACCGATTTTTGGCGACACGGTGGCGTGATGTTGACTCCCTCGCCTGGTATGCAGGAAGTCGTGCGTTCGATCCTGACTCTGACGCCTGTATATTTTTAATCTGCGTGTGTCTCTCTCCCCGTGGTCACGTGGATTTTTTTCCCTCCTGGTCCTCCGGTTTTTCCCTCCACAATTAAAAACACGCATTTTGAGTATTTTGTCTGCTATAAATTTCCACATAGGCCACGAACCCGCAATTTGAACCTGTCAGTGACAACCCAAGGCTCGCAACTACCCCCCTCCACTTCCCACTTCGGAAAGTCAAGAGCAGAGTTCTATTTCTTAAATGTCCAGCTCCGGAGACGGGAAGGGGTGTGGAAGTAAATGATGACAGTTTTCCCCGACCCGCAATTTTCAGCGCGGTGAAGTATGGTGGGTGCCGCGGTGGCGAGATGTTGACTACCTCGCCTGGTACACAGGAGGTCGTGGGTTCGATCCCGACCCTGACGCCCCTGCTGTATATTTGGAGTTTGTGTGTCTCTCTCCATGGTCGCGTGGTCCTCCGTTTTTTCCCTCCACAATTATAAACATGCCTTTTGAGTATTTGGCTGCTATACATTTCCACGTGATAAGCCACTTCGTTGAGCTCTCATTTGTTATAGCCCGGTCGCTTCTGAAAAAAAGCTACACAGCTCAGCGGGTCTTACGTGGTAAAATAAATAAAAACTGTTTATAGTTTATACATATATATCAATCGCTAACCACCCCCACTCCCCGCTTGTTCCACTGCTTAGGTGAAGCGTCTGTGATGGATGACCTGTACACGACCATTGAACCTTCAACCGGAATCTACGACGATTTCGACCATGGAGGTAAATGCAGTATGTGATAGTATTTGACAAAGGGTGGCAGTGTGGTGATGGTCACTAATGTAGGTGAATCCGGGACGCGACATTTCAGCAAACATGCCCAACCGTTGGCCCAATGTGGTTGTAGAAACGCGCGTTTAGAGCATGTGGCTGCTATACATTTCCGCACAATAGCAACTTCGTTGAGCTAGCATTTGTGGTCAGGTCGCTTCTGAAAAAGAGCGACTACATAGCTCAGCAGGCCTAACCTGGTAAAAGAAAAAATGAATAAACAGTCTGCCTCAGAGCATGTTTTCTCACCTGATGACGGACGCTTGTGTTGCGCCCGAAACGTCGTGATTTATTTTATTTTATACCTACGTGACTTTATCGAAAGAACCACATAGTATGGATTCCTGCAGTCACGAAAGCTTCAAATCAAGATAAAAAAAATGTAAATAGTTGACAACTTGACTTAAAGCTTTCGTGACTGCAGGAATTCATATTCTTGGGTCTTTCGGTAAAGTCACGTAGATAGGTTGTTATTTTCTTTGAGCCTATCTACGTGACTTTACCGAAAGACCCAAGAATATAGTTGACAACTGAAGGTAGCAACTGCCAACTCAACTTAATAATTGCAACTGCCAACTCATCTTGACAGTCGCAACTGCCACCTCAACGTGACAGTAGCAACTGCCACCTCAACGTGACAGTAGCAACTGCCACCTCAACGTGACAGTAGCAACTGCCACCTCAACGTGACAGTAGCAACTGCCACCTCAACGTAACAGTAGCAACTGCCACCTCAACATGACAGTAGCAACTGCCACCTCAACGTGACAGTCGCAACTGCCACCTCCACGTGACAGTAGCAACTGCCACCTCAACGTGACAGTAGCAACTGCCACCTCAACGTGACAGTAGCAACTGCCACCTCAACGTGACAGCAGCAACTGCCACCTCAACGTGACAGTAGCAACTGCCAACTCGACTTGACAGTCGCAACTGCCACCTCAACGTGACAGTCGCAACTGCCACCTCAACGTGACAGTCGCAACTGCCACCTCAACGTGACAGTAGCAACTGCCACCTCCACGTCACAGTAGCAACTGCCAACTCGACTTGACAGTAGCAACTGCCAACTCGACTTGACAGTCGCAACTGCCACCTCAACGTGACAGTCGCAACTGCCAACTCGACTTGACAGTCGCAACTGCCACCTCCACGTGACAGTCGCAACTGCCACCTCAACGTGACAGTCGCAACTGCCACCTCAACGTGACAGCCGCAACTGCCACCTCAACGTGACAGTCGCAACTGCCACCTCAACGTGACAGTAGCAACTGCCACCTCAACGTGACAGTAGCAACTGCCAACTCATCTTGACAGTAGCAACTGCCACCTCAACGTGACAGTAGCAACTGCCACCTCAACGTGACAGTAGCAACTGCCACCTCCACGTGACAGTCGCAACTGCCACCCTGTGTGGCGATGTCAGGAGGCGCCGCATCGACCCAGGTTGTTAAGCAAATCGCCACAGTCCCCACGGCGTGCGAGCCCGCGTCGTGTCTATAAGTAAATCGCCACAGTCCCCACGTCTCGCGGGCATCGTCTCGATATGTAAATGAGCCCTCAAGTCGGCGTCCCGCGCTTTAGTTTGCCTCAGGGAATTAATATTACAGTTAAGCTGAGGTAATTGCCTGCGTGCTATATGTATTAATGCAATGTTAATGTAATAATGTAATATATGCAATGCACATACGATTATACATATATCATTTGTAACGAATACAGCAGCTATGTTTTTTGCATGTTTACGTAAAGTGTGAACAAAATACTATGCAACATAATGTAACGCTGTGGTTGTCACGTAATAATACTGTAGGCAATGCCATGTATGTAATGCTGAGGTAAAATACCATCTAATGTAATATCAGTATGTTGTGTAATTTAGTGTATTGTTTTATATACGTACTAGTTCACGAAGCCTATCTTCCCCAGGCAAAAGTATTCAATACATATAATTAACCTGATATGCATTTTTTTTACATTTTTTATCTACGATCAGACACTAACTCAGGGGTGGGCAAATTTTTTGACTCGCAGGCCACAATGGGTTCTAAAATTTGACAGGGGCCGGGCCAGGAACAGATGGATGGAGTGTTTGTGTGAACTAAATATATGTGACGTGTAAAAAATCATTACATGAAAGGATTTGGCCTTTAACAGGTAGCAAAGCATTTATTTGCAAGGCAATTTAACAAATTGCACGAACATGAACAATACAAAAACATGTCGTAACGCGACTTATCAAATATCATGGAAACATCTGAGGCCTGGCTTTGTTGGCGTTCATGACGCTGAATGTCTGCTCACACACATAAGTCGATCCAAACAAAGTCAGCATCTTCTGTGCAGTCCTCCGGAGGTTTGGAAAACGTGGCTCTGTTAAGTGAAGCATAAAAGTCATTCAGTTTAGCGGAGTTGAACTTCTACCTTTAGGACGGAGTCCAGACTGAAGATCTATCAGTTCCAACTGCAGCTCCTGTGGTGCTGTTTCAGAGTCTTGTGACAGGGGACAGGACACCAGCTGAAGTGACTGTTCAATGGTTGCAAAATCAGAGAACCTACGGGCAGAATTCTCCGTGCAGGTCCTAAAGTGATTTGCTGTATATATTTTTTTCGCGTTTTGCGGTGCCTCTTCCTGCATGGCAAGTGTGTGGGGGAAATGAGCGAAAGATCTGTTCGCAATTTTGTCTGGAGAGCAAAGTGACCTTGGATTTGAAAGCTTTCACATGTTTGTACGTGTCGTGAACAAACTGATCTTTTTTTCCTGCAGTTTCACATTCTGCTCATTCATGTGTGAAAATGTCCACAGCGCAACGCAAAGTCGCTAAGCCAGTTCTTGTCGCTTAGCTCAGGGAATTCGTCAGATTTCCCCATCAACTCTAAAAATGCGATGATGTCCTCTTTCAGCTCCCACACTCGTTGTAACACTTTCCCCAAACTTAACCAGTGGACACGAGAGTGGTACAGCAAGTCCTGATGATCCGCATCAGTTTCCTCCAGGAACGTAATTAACTGACGGTGCTGAAGTCCCCTTGCTCGTATAAAGTTAACAAGTTTTTACGGCCGGATTCACGACATGGTTAAGCTGCAATACAGACTTACACAGGGATTCCTGATGGATGATGCAGTGAATTAAAATAAGATCCCAGTCAGGGTTTTCCTCTTTCACTTTATTCTGGATTCTTTTCAGCAGCCCAACATTTTTTCCAGTTAAATTTGGCGATCCATCCGCTGTGACATTGACAAGTTTACTCCAAGGTAGCTTCATTCTTTCGATGACAGCAGACACCTGGTTATACAAGCCCTCTCCCCGCGTTGTTCCTTTCAGGGACTCCATGGTCAAAAACTCCTCTGTTATCGCAAAACTGTCGTCAATGCCTCGGATAAAAATGAGGAGCTGAGCAGTGTCTTTTACGTCCGTACTATCATCCAGTGCTAGTGAATGTAACTCAAAGGAATCAGACTTTTTGTTTAATTGGCTGGCTATATTTTCATCAATCAGTTCCACACGGCGAGTCACAGTCCTGCGTGATAAACTGACTTTTTCAAATTTGCTTTTGATCTCCGGACATAAGATGTCTGCTGTCTTTACCATGCATTCTTTTACAAACTCGCCTTCGGAGAAAGGCTTGCTAGCCTTTGCTATTTCGAATGCCACCAAAAAACTTGCCTTGGTAGTTGACCCTTGAATCGCAGTTTGTCAGTGAAAAAAATGTTGCTGAGTCTGTAAATTAGCCGCCAACCTCTGAGCCATAGCCACCCGTTCTTGCGTTGTCTGCTTGCTAGCGTAGTTAGCATGCTTCGTAGCAAAGTGACGGCTGATGTTGTACTCCTTGAAAACTGCGACAGTTTCTCGGCATATCAGGCGTACAGCCTTCGATTGGACTTCAATAAAAAAGTATTTTGTTGTCCACTCCGTGTTAAACACTCGGCACTCATTATGAGACCTCCTTTGCCAGAAACAAGATATACGAATAGGTTTTACCCTTTTAACTGGCACAAAAACTGACACCTTTATTCAAGGCATCATGTTTGCAATAACCACAACACAAGCAGTCAAAATGCAAACAAAAAAGACAACTCTGATAATAATATGCACTGTCCTTGAATTTGATTGGTCCACACCCGAGACAGCTTTTCTTAGAGCCTAGTCTCCATTGGTGTTGGACCAGAAGACGCCAAAAGGCGTACAACTCAAAAACAGCGCACTATCAGAAGGACAGTGCATATTATTATCATAGTTGTCTTTTTTGTTTGCATTTTGACTGCTTGTGTTGTGGTTATTGCAAACATGATGCCTTGAATAAAGGTGTCAGTTTTTGTGCCAGTTAAAAGGGTAAAACCTATTCCTATATCTTGTTTCTGGCAAAAGAGGTCTCATAATGTAAATGCTCACCCCGAGCCCTCAATACTCTGATAGTGCGCTGTTTTTGAGTTGTACGCCTTTTGGCATCTTCTGGTCCAACACCAATGGAGACTAGGCTCTAAGAAAAGCTGTCTCGGGTGTGGACCAATCAAATTCAAGGACAGTGCATATTATCAGAGTTGTCTTTTTTGTTTGCATTTTGACTGTGTTGTGGTTATTGCAAACATGATGCCTTGAATAAAGGTGTCAGTTTTTGTGCCAGTTAAAAGGGTAAAACCTATTCCTACACTCGGCACTCATTGTCCACTTTTCGTTTCCTTGATCCGCTCATTTTACAGAAGGGCTCACAGGGCAAAGCGAAAAAGTGAAGGGAGCACCGTATCTAACTCAGCAATGTAAACAAACCCTGAAAATGGCGCTGATGGCCCACAATGCATTGCGAGATCATGTGCCCTTTCGAGCCCTATACACCACACTCCCGGTCAAAGTGCGCCATCTAATGGGGAAATGGGGGCATTACATGAGAAAGGTAAAATTTAATTTAATTATAATATTTGAACAAGTTCGGCGGGCCGGATTAAAAAGCTCCAATGGGCCGTATACGGCCCGGGGGCCGTACTTTGCCCATGTATGCACTAACTACAAAATTTGTATTCACAAAAAAAGACAAACATTTACTTGATTCTAGTTCTTACATTTAAATAAGTATCCATCGGAAACCGCTCAATTTAAATATTCCGTTTTTTTATTATAAAGAACAAACATTTATTAACTTAACACTCTATGAGGGGAAGCTCTCTTTATCGTTTACCGTTTATGAATTATTCATATTTGAACACCATAAAATACGTATTTTGTTTCGTTCACCCCGCTTGAATCCGAAATATCTCAAACTAAATATAGAAGAATGCTTCTCGCTTTAATTGTATTTGCTGTTTAACGCTCTATCCAATGAAAAAAACCCCGCAATATATATTTAAGATTCATACTCTTTGGTTTTATTCAGTAAAGTCACGTAGATAAAATAAAACAAAATAAAAGAAAACAATTAAATCACGACGGTTTGGAGGCAACACAAGCTTCGTTCAGGTGGAATAGTCAACCCAGAATATCCGTGTCAGGAGCACAGTTCAGAGACGACTGGGATTATATACAGGTTAAGGCGGGGGGGGGGGAGTCAGTAAGGGGGCGTGGGTGGGTGGGAGGGCTGGGTTAAGCAGCCCTTTGATAGACTGCTGGGGCAACAACCACTTCGCACTGCACGAGAGTGGGTAAAACCCACCTTTTGTTATGCTGCGTGGGGGGTCGGGGGGAGGGAGAGATGTTGCATGTGTACATCTCCATTTTTTGAAAGCGGCGGCAAACGGCTGTTTAATTATAAGGTAGTTAAAGTTTGATATACAACTACTAAGAAAAGGAAATGGCTGTACCAAAAAATTGAAAGGCATCTAACGTTTGACTTGATTTAAAACATCTTTCCAGTGATTGCTCAATTTGAAACCATCCTCTCGGTTGAAGTTGTGTGTGTTTGTAAATCTCTGATGGCCTCGTGGACAAATATCTGATAATAACCGGTAGGTTTGCAGAGCAGCTTGGTATCGGAGAAAACAATATCATGATCACCCACAGCGTTGTAACAATGATCAGCCATGGCAGAATAATTCGTTCTGCCGTGTTTCAAATCTAATTAGTGCTCGCGAATTCGGTCAGAGATATGTCGCTTCATCTCCCCGATATAGCAGTCCCCGCAGGTACAACTCAATTTGTAAACACCGGGGTACTGTAAGTCAGGAATAACATCCTTTACTGACGGGATCAGATCACGGATTTTGTGCACTGTGTTGAACCGGACCTGGATCTTGTGTTTGTTTAGAATTTTGCAAATCGTTTTAGTAACGTCTGCTATGTATGGTAACGTGATGATTTTGATCAGAGTGTCTAGTGGTTGTTTCGGTATGGTGGGAGAAATAGCTTGGCGGATGGTAGGTCAGAATAACCGTTCGTCTTGAGGGCCAGATGTACATGTTTTAATTTACTGGTCAGGTGGTGTTTGTCAAAAACACCACCTGACCAGTTTGTCAAAAACACCACCTGACCAGTGACTGACATAACATGGAGAACATTCTTTCAGGAGTACATTTTAAAAAGGGCTTTACATTTTCCTATTCTTGGTTCTTTCGGTAAAGTCACGTAGAAGGGAAATAATAAAAATAAAACATAATAAAATTATCACGACGTTTCGGCCACAACGCAAGCAGCCGTCAGGTGAAGGACAGAGCTGTAGGAAAGACAGCGTCCTAATGAACACTGGCTAAGCTTGGCAGCGTATTTTAAGCTGGGTGGGAGGAGGAGAGCGCCTTGACATTGTAATGTTTATATTACTGTCTGCTACTATCCATCGAAACAGCTTGAATTAGGCAAATATACTGACAATACTAGTTTTTTTCTTAACGTAAATCCACTTAAAAATAACACGGAAACTATTTAAAGTAGATACCATCAAAATACCATAAGCGTTTTCACTCTTCCCCCCCCCCCCCCCCCCCCCCGATAACTTGTTCTGCCAGTTGGTAATTGTATGAGTCTACGTTGCTATACAACTCGAGTATCTTTGCACAGAAAACACTTCCTCAAGGCTGCACACACGATGAGCTAGGGGGCTGCATGTGGGCATGCATTGATTGCCCTCTTGTGATGCGGAGTTTCGCAACAACAACCAAAAAATCCGCACCTTTTCCCCTGACCGCCTCTGTGAGCCATCAGTTACGCAAGCAGAAATATCTTGCTCTCCTAAACTAAACTTTTATTTTCCTAGGTAAAGCCGACTGAGCTATACGCTGGATACTTTTAAAAATTGTCTGAAAATGTAATAAACGTATATAGCAATATATGGCTAAATATATGTACAGCTATATACGTGATGGTTGTATGTATGTTGAACTTCTTTTGAACCGTACGTAGCCAACTGTGCTAATCGAAGGTTGCCCTCAGTTTAAGATTCCTTGCTGGGTTTTCCCCACTGTTCATGGGCACAATGTTTATGTTGAATGCAAATGTAACTTGAAACGGCTCCGATGGAAATGCTGATACCACTATCTTATTCGGAATCTTGACTAGCTTACACAGTCATTGCTTTACAAAGATCTAAAAATAGTTTTTAGAGCTTTCATTAAATCTCGCAATGCAAATAATTGATACATGGTTAAAATTCTCGCTGAGCAACAGTGAAATAACTGACTTTATTGGTGGCTCAGCGGTAGAGCGGAGTCCCTTGCAATCGGAAGGTTGTGGGTTGATTCAGCTCATCATCCCAACTCAAATCGATAAATAAAATGAAGTACCACTTTGTGGGGAAGTCATCAGTGGTTATCCTATGGATGGACTTTCCCTTGCCATAGGAATGTATAATTTCCACAACCGGATCTGTGCTGTACACAGGAGATGAGCATAAACACATTGTAAACATTTATAACATTTCTCCTTAATGAGAGTGTGTAATGTTACCACATGCTTAGCATATGGTGGACTGATGCGTCCAAGGACACGGGTTCACCGATCACATCAGCATACCAGGTACGCTGCTAGTGCTGACCCTTCTGCCCCCTCTCACTGAGTCCAGCTTCTAGATGTATTTTTATATATTTTTCCGCAGAGAGTATTGTTGCTTGTTGCACCAAATTCCTTACATTCAGGATCGGAAATAAGTAGAATTAGGTCAAAATCCCGATTTAATTATGGTACTTGAGATTCCACTTTAATACGCGGTGACTGAAGCCCATATTCAAATCCAGGCACTGAGCAGTGCCAACTTAATGTCTGTGATACCCCGTTGTCAACAGTTCTGGGTTTGGCCGTTTTACCCACAGATGGCACCACTATATGCAGCGTGTGGGGAACCAGCCACCTTCTCACATTCGACCATGCTTCCATGGACCTGCCGCTGTCCTCATGTGCTCTGAACCTGGTGTCCATCACCGATTCCCCGTCATTGTCCTTGAGCTTCCAGAGAAGCGCTTTGGACAGAATGAGTGTGGAGAATGTGGTGGTGACCATGGAGGGCATATCCTTGTCCCTGACGAGAGAGGGCCAAAGCATTAGCGGCCAGAGGTAAGTGGTACTTATTTTGTTCTTCGTTGTTTTGCGTTCTTCCCCACGGGGTGATTCTGCCTGTGGCAGTCACAACAGTGATGGATCACAGTATATTTCCCAAACCCTCCTGCTTTCATTCACTGTTTTATTGGTGTTGCAATGCAGTCACATTTAGATGCTATATAAATCCAAATTATATTCTATAGAGACCCACAGACTCGCAAAGAGACCCGCAGATTCTCAGAGACCATCGGCTCAATAAATATGCCCACTGTTTCTGTTCAACGTTTTGAGATCCAGTCCCATATAGACGCTATATATATCCAAATTGTATTGTCATGTAGATATTGCATTGTAACACTGACCGCCCATCTAAGACACATGGCCGTGTCACTTGTTTCTTCCAGGGTGCAGCTGCCATACAAAGACCACAGCATCCAGATTGAGATGGTGGGATCCTATATCAAGTGCTCCTCCATCATGGGCTTCTCTCTGCTGTGGGACCAGAACAATGCCATCACGGTGAGTAGCGTTGAGACTGAATCGTGTGGGGCGAGGGTATCCATCTTTGACTTGATGGCATGATGCCTCTCTTGATCAGAAGAGTTTCAAAAGGGTGTGACGCCAGTGCTAGGATTGTGATTTTCTTGGTAATTAAAATGTACCTTGCATGAATAATGTACGATTATTAAACTGTGTTTTTCTTTCTCTGTAGGTTAAACTTGACCCCAAATTCAACACCAAAACTACCGGGCTGTGTGGAGATTTTAACGGCATTGCAGATGATTTCTATTTGAATGGTGAGAGCCGGTGTCAAGTGAATTAAAATGTTTAGTTTTATATATAGTGTCCTATATGCTGGACATGTCATAATGCTGTACATCGCATCTCATGTCAATCATTTGAAAGGGGAACCCCACTGCCAGATTTGCCTCCCAGTAAATTCAATTGAGTAGTTTGTGGGTAATTTTCGAACTTAGCAAATTTGAACCATGATGCCGGTACACAACGGCCTAGTCTTGTGAATGACGACACGGGATGCTTAACGTCCATTGTGAATCCGATGTCGCATAGTATTTATATGATTAATGCACCCGCAGTCTTAATCAGGGCAGCTGCTGGATTATAACCGTGTACTTCTGCAGCAAGTGGTGAACACCTTACCGCTAAGTAATGTCAACCACCTCAGTTTTATTTTCTTCCTTTGACCTGTATTTGGGACACATTCACACTGGTAAAGACTTGCACGAGATAATTACATTTGAACCGTAATGATGTGGCTGTATTGCTAAGTGAGCTCAGAGTTCCGAGTAGTTAGCACTACAGTTATCCTGGGTTCAAATTTAGGTTTCATCCAGCCATGATTAAACGAGGTTCTATAGTGAGTTGATCGTGTGAGCCCAGTATACATTGAACTATAAACTGTGATGGTTTAATTCGGTTTTTTTCAATCTATGTTGGATCATTCCAACTTTAACAATTAAACATCTTAGTTTTATTGACATGTGACGAGCCTACTCTGAGACTCCTTCCCTCCCTTGGCTGCTACACCTCTGTGATTCTTCACCACTGGACATCATTTCTAACGAGATGTCCTGTCCAAGCCAGTTACTTTTGTTAACAGACATTACCTTTTAACTTCTCTAATACATAACCTTTTCCTGTTTTTCAGTGTAATTCCAAGCATACAATGCATACATCTTCTTTGCACATTCTTCATTTTTTGTATTTTCTTTGTCAATGTTCATGTTTCTAATTCATCAGTTTAAGGGAGAATAAACGTTTTAATTTCGTGCGCTCCGTTGTTAAGTCTTTTATCGGAGTGGTTATGAGGAAATGTGTGATCACAAGTGTTTCTGATGGGGAATGCTACCCCTGGCTTCTAGTATCAGGTGCTAACTTTTACCGTTTGTGATGTGCTGCAGGTGTTCTGCGTTCAGAGAGTGATTACACGCTGATGAATAAGCTAAACAGCTTGGAAATGTGTTCCCAAGAGCCGCAGGAAACTAACTCATATTTGTCAAGCGAATACTGTCTGAACAAGGTATATGCTGAACTCTGTTTACCCAGGCTCTAGCGATTGACTCGCAGCCACAATAAGCAATGAGATCCTGCCTTCAAATCACAGCTACCCGTCCAAGATTAAACTTGAGTTTTGTACGAAGTGCGTTTTATGGTCTCAGACTGTAATTTGTAACATTCTAAGAGGGAGCTCTGCCACAGCACATAATCGAATACTTTGGATATTCAATAATTTATTTACAGCCCTCTGTCAATCTACTGCTGGATGAAGGCCATGTCTATCGTGGAGCATGTTTGACATTGCTTTACCACGCTGATCAGTACATGCTGGTAACGTGGTGAGGGCCCGAGGACCATTTCAAATAACATTTGGCAGTTATGTTGGCCATGGCTGGGAATCAAACTCAGCTTAGTTTATAGCGGAATAGATGATACACTGTTCTATCGCTCCACCCATAAACAAGTAAGAAAACGAATGTGCATTCATGGATTCTCTAACCCTTTCCAATTTGCGTTTGTCCTTGGAATGTTTTAATCAGTGATGATAGTATAATTTCAATCCACACAACGAGATAACATGTGTAATGTCATAAGATGATGTCACGTAATGAATCGTGGGGAACCGATGCGCGTGCATTGTGTGTGACATCACCTTGGCCGACAAGGCTTATTCATTTAGCACTGGTTTTTGTTGCCATGTTATTGTGAATTTTCCATTACCGATTGAGAGATGGACAGAGCTAAATCACGAACCCTTTAATCCTCAGTTGGAAATTGTTAAAATAATAGAAATAAGATTGCTAATCCAAACATTTAAGAAAATAACACGCCTCTCTTTCTCATGTTCCAGACACAACACATTGAGCACCTATTTGAAGACGAGCTTCTTTCCTGCGTCAGTGTCATGGACCATCAACTGAAGTCCTTGCTGGTTAATATTTTGTGGTCGGACATTTGCCGTTTGGACTGCAACGGCACTGCTGGGCTCTACCCTTGTGATGGTTGTGCGACGATTGCCGAGTTTTCTCGACGATGCACGCAGGCTAATGAATCGCCGGGCACGTGGCGTTCTCCAGAATTCTGCGGTGAGATGGGGAGAATGGTGCTGTGGTGTGGGGTTAAATGCTATTGTGGTGTACAGGTAAGATGGCAGAGAGCAGTGGTGCAGTACAGAGTAAGATCAGGAGAGAGCGGTGTTGCATTGTGCGGTCAGATCGGGTCGGGAGAGACCGGTGGTGTGGAGTGTGTTGGTGAGATGGGAGATAAAGGTGCTCGCTAACAGCTCTTGCAATTACGGTCTATAGGGCCACCCCCGGAGAATCTTTACCTTTTGTGCGTGTAACTGACTCCTTCTCACTCAGGTGTGACGTGCCCGAGAGGTCAGGTGCACAGGGAGTGTGGATCGGTGTGCAAAGACACCTGCTCAAACCCCTCCGCCTCTGTCAACTGCCCAAGCACCTGTGTGGATGGCTGCTTCTGCCCTGAAGGTATAAACAGTGAATCAATAGATGTAATTTTCTATTCTTTAGCGAGCATTGAGGGTTCTATGGTGGGGGGCCTGCAGGGAACATGCCCCCGAAGGTACAGCAATGCATCCCATATTGTGTCCCCCTCTATTCAGAAGCAGCTCCTTGAGATGACTGAAGAGAGCATTCACGTTCATGTCAAAGAAGTCCTAACGGCCAGTGCCACTTCATATCTATTCTGAAAATTCCCCGCATATTACTCATCGTACTACTGGTAGACTAGTGCCCCAGGTCACTTTCAAATAAGACTATCTTGGTCCAAGTACAATCAACTTTAATATATTGATCTTCTATCTCTCGCTCTCCAACCTTTGCATATGGATAAACTAGATTTCTCTACTTACCATTTCTCTTGTGGTGTTTGGGAACTGCAGGGACGGTGTGGGACGATGTGAGTGGGTCGGGCTGCATCCCTCAAAGCAATTGTGGGTGCAACCAACTGGGCCAATCCTATGCCAGTGGAGAATCGCTCATCACAGGCTGCAAAAACTGGTGAGACACAATAGCTTAGTATCAGGGATGACGATTTATCATAGGATTCCCATATTGCAGCAACCCTACCTATTGGTACAGTGGTTCACAAAATGTGGTTCGCAAATAGTAGTTTGCAAGTCACATACCAAATATTCATAATACTTGTGTGTACTCTACACATAAATAAGTCTAAGTGTGTACTATATGTCATTGTTTGTACCCATGTATTATGCACCCATTTGGAGTCAGGCTGGCAGTAGATGCGTATGTGCATGTATCCATGTACCAATGTATCTACAGTATTTTGTATAGTGACTCTTCAGGTTTCTATTGATATGCCAATTTAAAAACTACAGCAAAAAATGTTATTTTCTACAGGTGTAAAGTGCAGTTTCAGACTCTTATCAACTCTATATCTATGGCCTCTCAATGTGCTATGTAGATGGGCCAATACCAAAACCTCACCTATTATATACATTTCCTTTTAACGCCATAATTTTATTGACAAATGTATTGAGTTTTTTCGTATTTGCAGTAACATCACAATAATTATCTTAACCCGTGTATGTTCACCACAAAATTAAATACTCCCGAGTACAAACACACGTTGGGATGCACACCTATAGGCTGCAAAATGCAAGGCATCCGATCACGCAATACAAACCACAAACTTGTCAAGCTCAGCTCAAGTGCGGTTGCATGCACTCTCTTAATCTCGTGGATAGGGAAGTCTGCGTGGAATCACAAGGCAGCAATGTCCAGGGGTGTCGCCTTCTTGAAATGAAGCAAGAATTGGTCAATAACGCCTATGGCCAAAGCACCCGGAACTCACCCGATCTCATCAGATCTCGGAAGCTAAGCGGGGGTTTAGCTTCGATGACCACCACGCACCACTGGCAACGCTGTCTCACCAAATAATTAGTTTAGTGTTTCTGTGTGCATTTTTTTTACGTATGAACTTTGTAATGCCGTTCAACACAAGTAGTTTTGGGGGCTTATATTAAAAATAAATGTATTTGTTATAGATCAGATTATACATTTCTTAAGATAGTTTTGGAACCACTGGATTATTAAGTGACACTTTCTCTAACCATGTGGCATAAAGGTGACTGCTGGTGCTATTTTACCAGATAACAGCACATAGGGTACCGCACTGTGGTTTTACCACATGCCCTGCTCGTGGTGATCTTGTGCTCTCTCACTGAGTCTGGCTTCGAGAGGTTTTATTGTCCAGGCCGTGTTTGAATGCAAGCTGGTGAATAGGTTTGAGGGGCGAAGCCCCATTTATCCCTCACCACCTGCCACATGTGGGTTTTGCATTTCTAATCATTGTGCCACCGTCTTTGCCGACTCAGCACTTGCGAGCAGGGTCAGTGGAATTGCGACAGCCGGCCCTGCTATGGGACGTGCAAGATCCTGGGCGGCTCCTATTTCTCGACCTTCGACAGCAAGACGTACAGATTCCACGGGGACTGCTTCTACACCCTCACAACGGTACCGAAACTGCATTTGTAATGCATTGGCGCATGTGGCAGCATAAGCTTGGGATGTAACGAATTTCACCCTCTTCTCCACGATCTAATGAATCATTATGATCCAGTGTCACAACTCGATCTGCAAATCCAATATCGCATATGCCATTGAGGTCATTGTATATTACCTGCTATGACACGGCTCAGAAAACATAACTTATGAAGAAAATATAACTAAAAAACTGCACAAAGATGCATGGAGAGGGTGCATTCTTGGAATTACATTTAGAGATTGAAACATTAACCACACGGTTTAGAGAACTTACGCAAGTTAGAGACGTAATTTTAACTGAAGAAAGGTAAGAGGGCAGGATACGTCACTAGAACGATGGCCAGTGTGGCCGAGACGAACAAAGGAGATAAATGATTCGGTGATGATACATTGGAAGTGGTGCAAAAGCACAATTAACAAAATAAAACTCAACACTGTGGCCTAATAACAAAAGGTGACATTTTGGGCAATGGCCCATGTGGGGAGAGGTGCTATGAAGAATGGGCATTGCCAGGAATGTAACTTCTTTTTATAAATGAGAGAGCACTCCCAACAGGATATCAACTGCGGAGAGATGGATCAATAAAATCTTCTCGTGTACAGGAGTTAAATGGATTATGTAGCAATACTAGGGATGGTGACAGCTTGGTTCCATATTGGTGCATATGCATATAAATGTTCATTACATTCCTATGAGTATATACAATGTTGTATAATTGTAATGTATTTTTTTTTCTAAAGATAGTTATTGAGAAAGAAAATGGGAGGCATAACATCATGGGCATCCGTCATATATGTACAGCTTTTCCAATTCAGTGACCTCTAAGCTTCTGCTCTGTGACCTCAATATTTTTAGGACTGCGCTGGCAACAAGTTCTCCGTACTGGGAGAGTTAACCAAGTGCGAGGGGCGAGATTCTAAGACGTGTCTGAATAGTGTTATCTTCTACATCGATGGCATAAGAACGGTGAGTGTGTGTGTGCATGAACACCCAGATGCACGTGATTGAGTGTGTGTGCGTTTGCATGCATTCTAAGAATACAAGCCGCCTTAATCCAAGGGGAGGGCATGAGCAGAGAGAGACAGTTTACGGCATAGATATCTTGAGCTAATGAGCAAATCTCTGGTTTCACTGATGACCAGTGACTGCACACACTTAAATATCATGGGAAACTTGTGTTTTCATTTGAACACTTTCCAGAGCATATAAAAATGATGTTCATAATCTGGATGAAGAGGCTTTTAAAAGGTGTTCAAACCTAGTTATGTGATGTAATCTTCCATGGCTGTTCTCTGACACAAGCAATGTAACTCAGAAGAAAAATAAAGACCCAAAAAGTGAAATAGAGAAATCACTGGGTTGAACACAGTGCATTTTGAATCAGTTTTAAAAGCAACGAATACATAATAAAATACTGTTGATTCCTATATTATTAGTGACAACCCTTATATAAACATTGCTTTTCAATAACTACAAGCGATTATTATTGTTTCAGGTTGTGTTCAAGGCATCAGGGGATGTCCTCGTGCATGAGAATAAGGTGCCTCTTCCATTCGTGTCGGGTAAGTCTTGTGATTGACAGTTTTTGCAATCCATTTTACACCTGCCCTCTTAAATCAACCATTTACCAGCCACAAAACTCAACACATTACAAATACTAAAAACATTGATATAAAAGTGTTTTGACAAGTATAAGTCGCTGCTTTGTGAATGTATATAAACGACATCATATTAAGTATTTCTGCAATTACACAAATGAACTATTCCATGATAGTTAATCTACAATCATTGTTTAGATCATTTACTCAGGCAGCATGAATTTGTCTTTAAATATGTGTTAAATGCCTAAGCTTCATAACTAAACACTGATCATCACTGCTTGTTTTGCAGATGGTCCAGCTTATGATGTGAATGTTTGTGTGCATTCATGACAGCTTGGCATGCACTGTTGGTCTCACTGTCTTTCTTTCAGCATCCGTGACCATCGTGCAAGAGTCGTCCTTCTACCTCCGTGCGGAAACAAACTTTGGCTTGCGCCTGCGAGTTCAGCTAAAGCCCCTGATGCAGCTGTACATTACCGCGGCCACCGCGTATCACAACAAAACGTGTGGTATGTATGTCTCAAACTCCGTTCCTCCGTATGCTAATTTGATGTTTTCTTCAGTGTAAAAAAACATGTTCTCAGTATCAGTTTTTAGGAGATTCGGGTTGTAATGTCAAAGTGCGTTTTAGCGCCACTCTATAAATAATGATGACAACATTGTTTGTGATGATTGCTCATTCATCACATGATTGCCACGTGCTGCCCTTGGCTGCCCTCATTTGTGCCACCCCAACTCAGATTGGTTGCCGTTTCAGTTATTGTTCCAACACGTTCAACCTAGCGAATTAAGCTTGGCACTAACATTACAATTCCGTGACATCACTAAAAGTGAGGCCTAAGTAGCTGTTTCATCCCGTTACATTGAGTTGAGTGATCTAGTGTGAACCCACTGCAGGAATTACTATTTGGTTATTTCGGTAAAGTCACGTCGAAAGAATATCAAATAAATAATAGAATACAACGTTTTGATTGCAACACAAGCAACCATCATCAGGTATGAATGAATGAGAAAACAAACCTAGTAAACTTATACATGTAATGCAATGCACCACAGATAGTCGGCTAACACAACAGTTCACACTTTACCTGGTTGATTACGTTCTTCCAAAGATTGCTAAATTTGAAGTTAACCGTTGGACAAATGTGAGTTCACATCCCTGGTCAGGGTTCAATCAGCTCAACGTTATCCATATGGGGATGATGAAACCAAAAGCAGCACTGCACAGGAATGCAACTGTTGTCATATGGATGGAATGGCCCATGCCATAGAATTGTGGAATTACCAACCACAGGCTGAGGGCCAACAACAGTATGGCCCTGTGTTCATGAAAACGGTTTCATCACAGCTGGTACCCGCATTTGAACTTAAGACTTTGCAGTGTTGGCTTCGTGCTCCGACGCTCCGACACACGATCATTATGAAACCCCCCAAACCACCTCTTACATTACATCTTGTGACAATTTAACAGGGCTGTGCGGAAATTTCAACGAAGTAACCGGTGACGACTTCACGCATTCCGGCATCGTGGACGCGACAGCGGCGACCTTCTGTAACGTGTGGAAGGCTCAGGCGACGTGCCCGGACCGCGAAGAGGTCACCATGGACCCGTGCTCGGTGTACATCACCAACAGTGAGATGCCTCATGGCGACACAGCTCACGGCACATGTGTGACCGATCAATGCCACGCTGTCATATTCACTTCACTGCTGGATGCGGGCTTCCTCACGCCGTACGTATCATTGTGGGAGGTATTTGACTATTTTTAAACACACTGGTTAGTGGAAGTTGGAGGGATTTAGATGTGGGAGTATATAAGTATATTATGACAATGTATTTTGCTGTACTGCCCTCTGCTGCCCATTGCATAATCCCACAGCTTATTTCACGCCTTATGCATCGTAGTTGTTTATCCAAGCACTACCCAGACTCAACTCTGATCAACTTTCGAGATCTGTAGAAATCAGGCACATTCTTGGTGATTTGATCATTGGCTGTTCGCAAAATAAGAATGGATTTCAACATGGAGCTCTCAAAGAAAGGAGTCCATCACCCATCAAAGAGAAAAGCTTGTTTAATGTGACACAATTATTTCGAACATCACTTCAATTTCCTTTTATTCACATATGCATGTAAATACAACAAATATAGAAGTGTTCCCATAACTGTAAACATCTAACATTTTGGAAAAAGTTTTTACATTTTTTTATATAGTCATTGGCGACTGGGTTGAGTTCATTAACCTGCTGCATTTAAGAACCTGGCATATGGACGGCTGACTGAAGCCCTGATTTGAACTCAGTGACGCTGACTCAATGGCTCTCTCCCTAAACCACCTGGTTCCCTCACACACTTAGCAATTTCTAGAGGACAGCGCATAGCCTTGCACTTGCTATACTGCCATCTCCTGGCCACCTTGCAACTGAGCAAGTGTTTAAACTTCAATATGGGATTTCACCAGCTCTTGCCTCCATAGCTATGGATTGCACATGTGGACCTCCATGCCCAGTTAACGTTTCGGGCAGTGGCCCGACAGCTCAAAGGCTACACTGTCTGAGCTTGTGTGTTTCTTATCTTTCAGATGAATACGCCAAAGCACATTGTGGCCTTCTGATGGATAACGACGGTCCATTCTCTACCTGCCACAGTGTGGTTTCTGCAGATGAATATTACACGGTACGCTCCACATTTGCATGATGATTAAAAATATATTTACAGGCAGTCCCCAGGTTACGGAAGGGTTAGGTTCCTGAGAATTATCCGTAACCCGAATTTTCCATATGTCGGAAACTGAACAATTTTCCACAAAAATCAAGATAAAATCCCATAGCTGGAAATAATTGTGCCTCCCCTACCATTTTCTCTCAGCACCATATCGCGCTGTTGTCCGTTTTCTATCGCTCCCTGTATCCTATCGCTGTACATACACTCTGCACTTCCTATGATTATTTCATTGCATCGATTATCTACCCTACAACTACCCATTATTAAACTAATGGAACATATACTGTATCCAATTGTTGATTTTAATATTAATTGTTAACAGAAAGCAGTCACTTCCGAACGCTTACCGTGCATTCGGCTAGGTCTAGACCACATACACACACACATACACGCACACATACACACACACAAATACACGCAGATACACAGTACATACTCTACAGAAAACAAACAATTACTTAATGCTACAAAAGAAAAATAATTATGTAACACTACAAAAAATTCCATTTATCTTAATCCTAGTGAAGCTCAGGCTCGGTGAAGGTGGCGCTTTGGAGGAGCGACGTGTATTAATCCGTAACCACAACCGCACCTCGCTGCACTATTTGTACTTATGTAACTAACGCAAACATTTCCGCATATTACATTTTTTTACATGATTTATGAGAGCATTTCCGTAAAGTTGGATTTACGTAAGTCTGGTTTTACGTAACCCGGGGACTCCCTGTATTTTCGTCTTTTTCCCCAATGATATCCTGATTGTGCGAGCAGTGTCATGTCGTGAGATGAATAATCCATTGGGAATGACTCGTTCTGTGTTAGAAAACAGTGCGTGGAATTAGACATCACAGAAGTACCTTTGAGATCCCTTCAGGTGACCTCTGGTCCACAAAGTAGGAGCAGCACTTTTCCACTTGCCCCAACCAAACACCAACAAACAGAGCGCACTGTTTCCTATGGGGTTTATCATGCATGTATGTACGTACGTATGATGAACTTATTTCGCACATTACGTAGCCAACTGTGCTAGATATGGGCCTCACCATGCCGTATGGGTCATGGGGGTTATTTAGACATATGTGACCACGTGGGTCAGTGTGGGTTGGTGAAAGCAGAGAGTATGGACGGGAAAGCATAGAAGTAGAGTACAACAATGGGTTTTCCTGCAAAGCCTTCTGCTGTTCACCGCGTAGCCCCAGATCCAATATCAAAGCCTGTTTGTACATGCCAGTCACCTATTAAAGTACTATTCAGGCTCAAACCTGCTTAGCTTTTTAGATATTAGGTAGATATTAACGCACCTGGTATCAGCCACTGGTAAGTCCCCTCATTTCCATGTCCTCCTGTACCACATACACCCATCTCTTGTAACCTTTTCCGCTCCCAATTGGCTCCGTCTTTCCAGCCAAGTCAAAAGCAGATTTCCTACTTTCCACAATGTGGGTTTATTGTCTGGAGAAGAATGATGGGCTACTGCTAGTGATGGCCACATACTTGACACCCTCTCATTAGATACAAATGGTACTTATGATGAGATCAAATATCCATATTTTTGTCTGTCTATTTGTCCACATTTGTTTTATCTAATTGTCCATTGATCTGTTTTTGTTTGTCTCACCGTCTGTGTATCCATTTGTGTATCTGTCCATTTCTTCATCTGTCTGTCTTGATCTGCCCATTCGATCATCTATCCTTCTGTGCCTCCTTCTCTCTTTGCCCATTCGTCCATTTATAATTCCGTCTGTCCATCCATCCATCTGTCAATTTGTCCATCCATCCATCTCTCTATCTCAATGCCTGTTTGTCCATCCTGTCTGGCTGCCTGCACACCACCCCCCACCACCTGTGCAGCGCTGCAAGTACGATACGTGCAGCTGCTCATATCCAGAGCCGTGCCTGTGCGCTGCACTCTCGGCATATGCGTACGCTTGCTCTGCTCATGGTGTCGTCCTCGTCGGCTGGAGGAGCGACATCTGCAGTAAGCACAGCCGCGCGGGCGACGCCAGGGCAGTGAGTCTAGAGATGGGCGAAATGTAAATGACATGTAATTTAAATATGTAATGTAATTACATTTTTAGTTTGTCATTGGGTACCTAAATTGCACAGCTCATAACGTTTGTCAATTTATATGTAAGTTATACAGGAACCAGTTATTGGTAATTTATATCTAAATTATATTTCCTCGAGTAATTTGTAATTTGAATGTATTTTTCCGATCACTACGTTAATCATAGCATCGAAATCGCATGCCAGAAATCGTCAAGTGTGCCACCAAAGTGAGTTAGAGTTACATTACTTTAGTGGAGTCATATTCGAACGATTGTCAGTGATGTTAGTGATGGAATCACAGTGATGTCACTGGAGTGCTATGTTTTCATGTCTGATTCTGTAACTTTAAAGGCCTTTTTTCTCATAAATGAAAACTTGTATCGGACAGCCCAGGACACGTAACCTATGTACTGTGTGTATCTCTACTATAAGTCAGGGGTGGGGAACGTCCGGCCCGTGGGCCGTATAGGGCACCCGGAATCATTTGGTGTGGCCCTGCCAAGGCAACCGTAGGCGGGACTCGAAATTCAATAAATCTAGGAGCAAACCTGGAAAAGCAGTTACGGGTAGCAACATCGTCAATACCAGCTAACATCCCACGCCTCACCAAAGAAAAGCATTTCCAGCCATCGCATTAGGGGTGAGTGAATTAAATGTTTGACCAAATATAACAGGCTCATTTTTAAGTTGATAATTTTGTATGGCCCGCGAATGATGTTATAAATATCCAAATGGCCCTTGGCAGAAAAAAGGTTCCCTACCCCTGCCATAAGTACTATTAGGAGGGCTCTATCTTTCATACCTTCACACAACTCAATATACACACCTCCCTCAATTCACGCACCCTCCTTTGCTACTCACTCCCGCCTCACTTCTCTCTCTGTCATCACCGTGAACCGACCACAGGCCTCGACGCCGAGAACTGCCCCGTCAGCCACGAGTTCAGCTACGCGGCGCCCGAGTGTGGCTCCGCGTCGTGCCGCACGTCCCGCGAAGTGTGTCGGGGGGTTCGCCCCCCGCCGTTCGAGCTGCCATCCCCTTCCCCCGTGGAGGGCTGCGTGTGCGGCGCGGGGCTGTACGACGACGAGCACGGCGTGTGTGTGCTCAAGAGCGATTGCCCCTGCTACTCGGAGATGAGCGGGGACCTGATCCGGGCAGGGGTGACCGTTGATCTGCACGACACGCAGTGGTATGAACCAGCGTTGTGCCAGCGTGTGCATTCCACACTCGTGCTGGGCGACATTGGCCGCGGTGGTTTTTTACGTCAACTTTGTCTTGTGCGACCTCGACCACTCAATTAGCCGATGCCAGGACCACTCTTGTCCCAGAGCAGCGGTCTGGGTCGGGTTAATTTATTTGGCGTTTTAAGTGCCTGACGGCTGAAACGCACGCGACTCCACACACACGCACTTTATTAGTTGCAGAGCAATAGTTTTACTTTTTAGCCGAGTCAAGTGTCTTGGGCACGTTATTAAATAAAATGGTTTATTTTAACACGACTTCCGACATGCCTTTCATGGTCGTGCTAAAAACATGACGCCATCACCAATTCACACCCCCAACAGAAGGAGTTTGTCATTGCTGGATTTTTATTAAGAAGTCAGGAGAAATGTCAGGTTTTTTGCACAAAAGCTGTCATGTATTTATATAACTATAATGTTGATGATGATGATTAATGTTATATTTGATAAGACCAAGGATGTCTACTCACGCAATGCATTTTTGCTTCATTGTTTGCCCCCTAGTCTGTGCACGGGTGGGGAACTTCACTGCTTTGGACTTTCCCCCATATCTGGTGAGCTACTCTTGTCGTTGCTATTATTGTCCTACTTAAGACACTGCAGAAACAACATCTGTATTTATTTTATAGAGGGAGACAGTCAGCCATAGGCAAAAGTTAAAAGGAAGATCTTCAGCCTGGACTGGAAGAGGGGTAGGGAGTAGCACTTTTAATGACATTCATGAGCACAACATTATAAATTAATTTATAAATATGTTTTGCAGTAGAACCACGCGGAGATGAGGAATATTATAAGGGCTATTGCAGTTTATTAAACACTTTCACACTCGGCATCCCACACTCACACTAGTGTAGGTGCACTCTGTCTCGGTCCTTCACCCAGACACTAAGTAACTGTTAAGAGCCTACCCCGGCTATCCCTTTTGGCTTTCTCACTCGTCTGCCCGGAGCGGGGGATCAGCCAACACCGCTCCGTGACGAGGAGAGAGACCCTCTTCCAGCCGCTCCTTACCCTGGCCCCCAATGACGACCTTGCCCCCGTCACGGGGTCCCCCCAGCTCAGCACCACCCACCTTCTCGCAAGTGCCATCCTAAAGCCCCTTACGTAACCAGTAGTTACGTCATCCTTGGCCCCACATGACTCTCAACCCGTTCGCACCTCCTTCCGCTCACCCCCTCATCGGATACCTACAATACTCCTGTACACATATATATCAGATTTATAGTACGCTGACATTTTGGGCACTTGCCACATTTGTATCTGTTCTGCCAATGGTGGTTAACTTCATAATAATCAATATTTGTTTTTGGATTTGGTCAAGTAGTTGATTTATGACAAGATTGTGGCTTTACTCAAAAACAAATATGGATCATTGTATTGACTACAAAAATCTATGTTTTGAGTTAACTTCACAATAGGTCACGACCTTATTATCTATAAATCTGGATATTTAAAGAACCCGTGTTTGTGTGTGTGTGTGCAGGGAACACATGTGAAGGCCTGATGACTTACCACAACTGCAGTGACGGATCGAGTGAAGGCAGTGCTGCTTGTCAAAGAACCTGTGCTAATCCACATTCAATATGCGTAAGTGTCCGTTGAAAGTGCAACCAACCCTACAGTCAAATAAAGGCCTCTTATAGCCATCAGTAGTAACAATACATCTGGAGGGAAATACGAAACAATGCTGTGGTGAAACATAGTACCGCACAAATTCAGGTTTAAGCTGGTGCTAGTTGACCCAGAACATGGCCTGGGTGTGTCGCGACGATATATTAATTATTGAAGCAGAACTACTGACCTCAGGCTAAATTCAGCAGCACTTTGTCTTACGATGGTTTATGCCATCGTGATGCTCTTGGTCCGTAGTCCTTGGTCACCATATCTATCAGGAGCAGTGGGACAGAGAAGGGCATTGTCCCAGAGAAGGGCATTGTCTCATGATAAAGAAAGTACGAGTCAAACCCCACTACCAAAACTAGTCGGGAAAAGCGAGTGTGAATATAATAGCTGTTTAAGTTTTTGGGTTGCGTCTTCATTGAAACTGATGATCATCATGATGATAACAATGATCACAATGACAACAGTGCGTTGCGCTGGAGAAGGCTCGACCGACACCTGTGTGGCACCCTCCCGTGCGTGCAGTATAGCCCGGGCTGCGTCTCGGGCTGCGTGTGCCCCGGTGGGTTGATTGTGGATCACAACGGCAACTGCGTGAGTGAGGAGCAATGCACCTGCGAGCACAACGGGCGGCACTACGACCCCGGAGACACCATTACTCAGCTGTGCAACAAATGGTGAGCGTTCCGCAGTCGCCCTTCTCCAATGTGCATCTTTGTGCTCCCCCCCTCCCCCCACAGCAGCAATATCTGGGACTGGTAGTTGTGTGGGCAGTAGAAACAGGGAATACATTGGCCAAGGTCGATGTCACCTTGCATGACCTCGACGTTCAAACGATGCCGACCTTGACTACCCACTCGACCGACGCCAGGACCGCACTTTGTCACACAGCAGTGGTCGGCGTCGGTGTAGGTCATTAGTGTCACATCTCAATTATGGAGTAGCGAAACCGGGAATATAAATTTTATAGAGAGCGGCAGTTACTCAGAGGAAAAAAATAGGTTTGGAGCCTGCATTTGTACAGGGGTGTGGAGCCGACAGCACGGACGGTTGAAGTACAAAGATCCATAGTATGAGGGCACAGCAAAAAATTTGCAACAGGCCCTGAAGATTTTTATCAATACTAGACCAGATTTTTGTCCGTTCACAGACTTTTCTTGAGTTGTGCTTTCCCTTCAGTGGTCCTTTTCCCTGCTTTGGATTTCAGTAGATACAATATGAAGGGGCGCTGCTTATTTTTCCTAATAAAGTGTTTTGTGTGAAGATTAGGGGTTAATGTTAGAGTTTAGGGGTTAGGGCTAGGTTGAGGGATTAAGGTTTAGGCTGAGAGTTTAGAGGTTCAGCTTTGCGTTTAGGGATCACGGTTTCGGGGTCAGGGGTTAGGATTCTTTATTTAGGGGTGAGGGGTTACGTTATATTGTTATTGGTTAGGGTTTCAGGATTTGGGTTTAGAGGTTATTACTAGAGACCATTATGGTTAGAAACAGTAGTGCTTTAGACTGCTTTCCTTGCTCCTCATGTATGGTCGCAATCATCTTGGCCTAGCATAAAAGGCGGTGGTGATCTCTCACCATGCTACGATCGCGCGTGGGTTGTTTCGTGCAGCACGTGCATGAACGCACGATGGAGCTGCACGTCCGAGGTCTGCCAGGGCCTGTGCTTCGTGTATGGAGAGGGCCACCACACGACCTTCGACGGGAAGCAGTATGTCTTCGACGGGTCCTGCCAGTACATCCTGAGCCAGGTGTGCTCTCAATATATTTTAGTCATATGCAAATTAAGCCACTGCACCCTGCATGCATTTGATGGTAGGGAAGCTTTGCCGTGGTGGGTCGTGAGGACTGGAGTTGAGAAACACTCACATAGACGCTCATCACGGCCTCTTATCAATATACCACCTGTGTGTGTATTTCGTGAGTATATCTGCGTGGCTTCTATCTGTCATCCATGGTATATTTGTTGCTTAACCCTACGCTCTGTAACCACTTTGTTGTTTTTACTGCAGGATTCCTGTGGAAACAGCAGTGGCTCATTCCGAATCACCACTGAGAATGAGCCATGTGGAACCACAGGCACCACCTGCTCCAAGAAAGTTCACTTTTACGCCGGGGTAAGAGTAGAATTTAAATATTTAAATTTCTGTAATTGAATATATTTTCACATATATTGACTTTACCGAAAGACCGAAAGAATATGAATTCCTGCAGCCACGAAAGCTTCAAGTCAAGATAATTGATTATAATCAATTACTTGGTTCATCATTGCATTCTTAGTCATTGGTATATCTGTTGTACTTCTTCGCACCTTACGTAACCAACCGTGACAGCCTATTTGTATTGCCTGTCAATTTGTATTGGCTGCCACTTTTGTTCTATCGTGTTCATTCCATTAACCTCAAGGTAACGACTACTAAGTGGCTAATCTGCGTGTATGTATATTTGTGGATCTAGATTGTTCCACCAACTTGAGTGAAGGAGCTGTCCTTTGAAAGCTCATGTGGTTTACGTGAATGAGGTCAAACTTACAAAAACAGCTTTACTTTTGATCGGATAATTTTATTTATCTGCGCCAGTAATGCATATCTGGCTTACCATTTACAATATCGCAATTCATGAAACAAGTTTGCAGCCCTGATTCAAAATCATACAACGTGTAGGCATAAGCCTTTGTGAAGGGGTGAGGGTCATGTGAGTTGATCCGTAGCATGGGCAGACCTCTTTTTTTGAGAATTCTTGCCTTGCCAAGAAAAGCAGACAAATTATCTACATCTGAATAGCATGTGCTCATTGGTGGGCATGCTATGCTCAAGTAAAATGTCAATTCATGATTATGCCAATTATTACCCACATCTTTAAAGTATCATCAATTTATGCAAAAATCTTGGAACTTGCCGGGAGATTAATATATAAATTTGTATGCTCAACAAAACTGATGGGGTCTGGTTGCTTAAAGGTCAGAGCACTGCGCTGGCACTGCTGAAATCCTGCGTTTTAAAATGGGCAGTCGCCTCTGATAAAACTGGGTTCTGAAGAGTAGCGAGTTGATGTTTTCTGCCCATTCAAGATATAACTGCACAAAAAAACCTCTTCACATGAAATTATATTTTGCGCTTCCATTGACTACATTACAGGTCTGAGAATTACAAAAATATCAGTTTGATTGCCATGCAACAAACATTACTCCCAGTGACAGAGCAGGTGGGAATTGCTGCCCCCTGCCATGTGGAATAGAGCTCACCCGAATGGCTCTCAGAGGTAACTGCTATATCCTTCCTTCGGCTGTTCTTTGACATGGTGGGTCCTACTGGTCTTCAAAGTTCCAAATTAAATATTAATCTCATAGCACAAAGCCGCGATGGCCTAACTGGCCGTTTAACCACAGAAACTCAACCGCACTGCTCATGCTGTGTCCTCAAAGGCTGACGAGCTGGTGTTGACGGACGGCACCGTAAAGGGGAGTTCGCTGGATTTTCCGGGGTCGCCATTCCACGTACGCCGCATGGGCATCTACACTGTGGTGGAGACGTCGCTCGGGGTCACGATCATCTGGGATGGTCACACGGCCGTGTCCGTCCACGTGAACCCACAGCTCAAGGTACAGGAGAGATCGGTCACTTGGAATGGCTTTAGCCGCAATTTGGGGAGTCACTGGCCACAGAGACGACCGTGTGTCACTCAGGGTGCTAACTCCACATCACAGAAGTTGTGCCGGTACCACTAAAATCCTGGGTTCGTTTCCTAGGCCTGAGTGTCTCTTACTTAATGTCAGACACACTCAGCAAATATCACTGAGGTATTAAGCTGGACTTGAACAGAAACAGGGAGTTGACAGCACGGATGGCTGAAGAAAGGGACTTCTAACCGCGCAGGTAACATAGAAGAATGAGCGACATCCCACTGAAGGAAAGTTGTCTGGGAGTTTTGACAGAAAGACTAGGTTGCTGGTGCAGCATAGTGCATGGAGGGAAGTAAAGTAAAATGAGTAGAGCTTGGTAGGAGAGTGCATGGAGGGCAGTAAAGTGAGACGGGAGCCAAGAGACAGGCAGGCTTTAGTCCATAGAGGATCTGGAAGATCTGGGATTGGGAGCCAGTGGAGGGATCTGGAGGATTGGAGGTGAGCACTGTGCGAGCGTGATCCCTGTGAATTTCCCCACAGGGCCGCGTGTGTGGCCTTTGCGGAGACTACGACGGCAAGGTGGCCAACGATTTTGTGACGCGCACGGGCTCGGTGGCAGCGAGCGCTCCCGAGTTCGCCGCTGGCTGGAAGGAGTCCGGCTCTGGGTGCCCTGACCTTTCGCGAGTGTCTGACCCGTGCACCATAAACCACCATCGTGAGAGCTGGGCACACAAGCAGTGCTCCGTACTCAAGGATGGGGTGTTCAAGCAGTGTCACAACATGGTACGTGTGTGTGTGTGTGTCTGCGTGTGCGCACACATTTGTGCACATGCGTTTGTGTGCACAATCGCATTTGTTGCGCGTGTGATGCGTTTGTGTGTGCATGTTCATTTAATTCTGCGTGCGCGTGTGCATTTGTGTGTGTGGTCACACGTTGGTGTTTGTGTGTGTTTGCCTTTGTGCATGTTCACATTCGTATTCACGTGTTTTTTTGTGCGTTTATGTTCAGGTCGAGTACCTGCCCTACTACGCTGCGTGCGTGCGCGACTCTTGCGGTTGTGACACTGGCGGCGACTGCCACTGCCTGTGCACGGCGTTAGCATCGTACGCACAAGCGTGCGGCTCGGCGGGCGTGTGCCTGCGCTGGAGGACACCGGACCTGTGCCGTGAGTAGCCACCACACCCAGCGGCTCTGACACAGAAGAGTACAAATAGAGGTGTCGAGGTGGCTCTGCGGAGCTGATCGAAAGTCAGAGTTCAGAATACCAATCCAACGCCAGGTATCGGCCGACCAACTGGAGCTGAATCAGATTCCCACGTCGCCAGTTGGTGGTATCAGGATGTTCACTAAGAACTATGCAAAAACAACCATCACATACATTTTTTTAAATGTATTACTTAATTACAAGTTCACTACCTGATAAAGCTCAAAGCAGTTTTGAGCGAAATCAGGTATGTTGATGTTACATTCAGTCATAAAAAGTCTTAAGCCACCGGGGAGGAGCATTATTTATCTGAATTTTTTCAATACATTGTTGGCACGTATGGAGAGGTGCATGCTTGAAATTAAACTGAGAGACAGAAAGAAGAACACATGGATTGGAGAACCAAACGCAAGTTAGGGACAATATTGACTGCCAATTAATGTAAGTGGGCTTGAGCAGAACATAATAATAGGGTTTTCCCCCTTTTTTCTGGCAACAAATCTGAAACCTTTTACAAGGAATCATGTGTGCATTAACCACAATACTTGTGGTCAAAATACAAATAAAATACACTGATAATATATGCATTGTCCTTGAAACTGATTGGTCAACACCAGGGATGGCTTTCTTTTGAGCCTCGACCCAATTGGTGCTAGATCATGTACATGTGTGTGTGTACTTGCACGTGTTTACCTACATCTGTATGAAGGTGTATGTGAATGCATTGTCATACATATGTGTATGTGTGCAGCGAGTGGTACTGCAGTGGTCAACGCACTGCATTACGATAATTGGAAACCCGAGTTAGATTCCTACTCATGGCCAATATCAGTGATGATTATCTGAACCCGTCATGAGCCTCCTTTAAATCGACTTAGTCTTAAATGATTACATGGTAAGGTGTGTAACATTGGCATTAGGGAGGCACAGGCGATTGGGCGTAGTCCTTATCACACCACCCCCTTGAGTACCATGTTGGCTTGCATAGGTACTGTATATGGGCATTTTTGGTCTTTGTACGTATATGTCTTCAGGTGTATGTGTGTTCATTGACGTACGTTTGTGTTCACATGTAGGTGTGTTTATTCACTTACGTATTTGTGTGTTCCCATTTCTTGGTGTTTCTTCATTTATGTGTATGTGTTTAATCACTCGTGTGTTTGTCTGTACATGTGCAATTTATCCTTCACAGCGCTTGGCTGTGACTTGTACAACAAGGATGAGGGTCAGTGCGAGTGGCATTACCGGGAGTGTGGCCGGGGCTGCCAGCGCTCCTGCACCAACAGGAATGCCATCTGTACCGCTAACCTGCCCCCGCTGGAAGGTGAAGCCACTTCTTGGGTTCCCGTGAAACCACATTTATTGATCGCAGATGCCTCTCCTCATGTGGACGGTTTGGCATGTGCCATGTTTTAGATAAAACCCTTCAGTACTTCCGCATTTCCACGAGCCACATAACTCAAGCGCGAATTCGAGTTGCCGTCCCGGCGGCGCGTTTCTGGATTTTTTTTTGTCAATTCAAATTGGCCACCAATTTGGGCTGCCACCCAAATATTGCGGGTGGGTCTTGCTTCACAGGCTGGCTTGCATTCCCTATGTTAGAATTCAAATGGAGAAGAAAGATATAACCAAGTATGTTATATTAACAGAAACATTTAATCTATTTTAAATTTTACATTAATTAATTTGTCATCAACGTGGTTTTGACCTTTGACTCGCAATTATATCTGGGAAAGTCTTACTCAGAAGCATGTCTAGGAAAGACTTGCTTAGCTCACGTGGTAACTCAAGTAACTTGGAAAGTCATGGAAATTCAATTTTTAAAAAGTTAAACTTTAGTTATCTTTCATATTGTGGCCTGCACAGAAGTAAAAAAATATCATTGAGTTGGCTGTCCCATGGAAATACATATTCGCGTTCCTCTGACATTGTGAGCATAATGTGGGGCAAAAAAACGTTTTTATATGTCAGAACATAGTAAATTGACTATTTAAAAAATATTCAATCCAAAAATCGGTGGAAATCAATTTTCAACTAACCCTCAGACCAGGCACTGCTCCAGAAATGCAGCCATTTAAACAGTGTTTTCACCATTGACTCGATATCAGAGAATGTTGTCTCTCTGGTCTGGTTCTTGATCAAATTGAGTCAATGTCTCTGTCGTCAACCACACAGTAAATCGAATTTTGAATCGGGTTCTAATCATGCAGCATGTTTGCTCCCATGTGACCATGTGATGACACCATATGTGTAAATACTTGATTTAAAAGTGCATTCTCGTTCCTGTAATTTTTATCATCTGATTTGTGTAGTCTGTTTCATTTAGTGTGCTAACCGTAACACCGCAACAGCATTTATTTTTCATGGGAAATCCGTAAAATGTTCGAACGATCGAAACTCATTCACACGAATCAATGTATTGTGAGCGATCTTAATAACCGATTGTAATGTGCACCGTGACCTCCCCACCTCTGCAGGCTGCTACCCGACCTGCCCGAGTGATCGGCCGTTCCTGAATGAGAGTAGCATGACCTGCGTGGAGCGTTGCGACTGCGTCTCTAACGGAACCACCTACAAGGTTAACGACAGGATTCCAAGCAATGACCCGTGCGAAATCTGGTGAGCCCGCAGTTCACACACAGCGCTTGCAGCTGGCCTTTTTTCGTGTGTGTGGTGGCGCATGCCTGTGTGATCCAGCACTTTGCCAAGAGATGACGATACAGCTATTGGGTTCAACTGTTGTAAATGGTGGAGCAGATGAGCAGTGCCGGGGCCGATAAGCCAATTAACTGGTCAAAGGAACGTATTTTCATAATTTGGAACTTATTCACATAAACTGCATATCATAAACTTTCAAAAGGAATTGCATTCATTGATAAAAGGAGGTATTATCTTGACATACAGACATGGAAAATGCATACATACAGATACGTACAAACTAGCGGGAAGTACCCAGCGATGCTCGGTTTTTAAAAATATTTCAAAACTACTCTTAAAAATCTAATAGCGGTGCATACTGACTGTGGTGGTACTTGCTATGATTACAGCAGTGCATACTGACTGGTGGTACCTGCTATCACTACAGTAGTACATGCTGACTCTTTAGCAGTATTTATCGACTCTATAGCACAAAGTACTCACCTGACAGATTGGCGTGGTGAGGCGTAGTCCCGTGCAGAGCCTCCGGCCTCGCCTAGATTGTCAAGCCGGCTGAGGTGGCACCTTGGCAGGCTGGGGCTGGGCTGCTACCCCTGACCCCCCGCCCCCAGCCACGATCTCCCCGGCCGCTCTGCAGTAATATCTATGGCCTATAGTGGTAGCATCGAGCGACTGCATAGTAGTAATAACTGCACGCATCGGGGTGGGGGGGGGACATCACACTGAAGAATTTACGTCAGCGTTTAGTGTATCTCACTCCTACTGAAGGCGTGCGACTTGGCATGGGCCGTCCCCCCCACCAAAGGCGCGTGAGTTGGTATGGTCGCGTGCGCGTCATAAATAAATAAATAACCGCACCAAAAAAACGCACATGCTCGATATTTAAACAAATTTAAAGTTGATTGATGTGGAAAAGGAATATCGCTTGCTCACCGCGGCGCTTACGACTTGGTACTTGCCTATTTTTTTTTACGTAAACCCCGCCGTTGGAGAGGCAAATCGTTCGCAAGCGTGCGAACAGACACAAACCCACAAACAAACCCACAAACAGACAATTTTTGACTTTTATATATATAGAGTGTGAACATTTTTGCTTCTGGGAGGAAATCAGAATTATTTCAAAGATACATTTATACGACAGATTTTTTCTCAATTTTTTTTATGAATCTGATATAACTGAAAATTAGGCCTAGATATGAAATATCTCATGATGCAAATATTTTTCTTTTGGATTGACCTGAAAATGTGACATCACAGGAGGATAGAGCACTTCCATATCATTGCTTTCGTACTTTTCCAGTAAAAAGTGTCGGAAAAGTAAAATCTGAAATTGCGGCAAAAAATCCGACATCTTAAACATTTAAACATCCCTAAACCATACAAAATAAATAAGGCCTTCCCACGTAAAATAGTATGTAATTTTTGCACATCCCATCAGCTGCACGGCCTTCTGGTAGTGCATCTTATCAGCAGCATTGGTCCAATGCAAACAAACTGGTCTGGTTTTTATATTGATTGTCTCATTGGCAGTCAGGCTTGTTTGAACCAATAAGAGTGTAGTGCCCGATTTTATAGGCAAGGACCCTTTCCACACTCGCAACGAATACAGCTTAGCTGATTATTATGTACTACTATTACTTGTTTTTATTTGACCAGGTAAGGCCCACTGAACTACATAGCTCTTTCCAGAAGCATCCTGGCCACATATAGTTCAACTGAGTGGCTTTCATTATGTGGAAAATTATAGCCAGCAAATACGCTAAACGCATGTTTCTAAATGTGGAGAGAAAAACTGGAAGACCCAGAGTAAAATCCATGTGATCATGGGGGGAATATGCAAACTCGAAATATACAGGCTTCAGTGTCGGGATCGAACCCACGACCTCCTGTGATCAATCAATATGTGATCAATCAAACGGCATGTCACAGCATTTGACTTGATAACACATTTATACCCATAATAATTCATAATATTAATAATAAAGGTTTTTGGGTTAGATCGCGTTATTTATGAATGTGTCGTAACCCTCCACCACCCTGACATTTATACCCCTCAAAATGAGCCTGAGGGAGGTGGCAGAGTTGTGTTTGCATTTGCTCTCAGTCCCGTTTGTCGCATATACGTTATTAACATGGTTCTGTGTTTGCCCTTCAGTTCTTGTACAATCGACGACATTTCCTGCACAATTATTCCAGGTAAGCACAATCGAACATTCCACCATAGAATGATCCCCAAGGTGGTAAATATACACGTAAATTTTTCAAGCCACTCCCCACAGCATGCAGATTGTGGTTATTGTGTGACCATACTTCACCACACTGGTCAGCACAGCTTAGTGAAGGTGGGGTGCATAGATGTAGTAGCAGGATCAAGATTCAGAGCTGATTCCATCCAGTGCATTTCATCCCTTGCTTTCCTCCATAATGAAATCCCGAATTATTTGTTTTATTTAGCAGATTTTTTAAGGCAAATCAGAGTATTCCCTGTTTTATTAATGGCACATATGTACACTGTAATTATGAAAATTTAAAAACAAACAAAAATATGAAATTCACCCTGATGAAATGCTGGAGGTAGGGTTATGGTTAGGGTCAGGATCAGTAGGAAGGCTTTTTCTCGTGGAATGTTTGAATAGTTGGTTATGGTTCGGCTTGGTGGTTAGTTTTCTTGTTAGGGTCAGTAGGATGGTTAGTACTGTACTAGTGCCTGGTGGGATAGTTGGTTGGGGTTAGAGGTAGGGCTAGCATTTCGTTGGCTTGTGTTCTTTGCCCCTAGACTACTTGACTCTTTTCTTCATAACATATTACCTATTTAATTTTTGCTTGCTTTTTATTTGTCTGGTTTTTACATTACCCTTTTTGACATTTCAAACGTTTCAACTTTCTTGTTAGATCATTTGTTGAGATGTAGAGATGGAATTTAGATGGCACCATTTTTTTAAGTTTGAAAGTCAGCTGGTAGGCCTATCCATGATTTATTTTACGAATTGTAGCATGGAAGTTTAGCTCTGTTTTTGAATTTGCGCAGCCAGTCAGGCCGTTGTGGATTATGATTTATTAGGCTTATCAAAGTTTATTTTAGGTCCATAAAGGTCAAAGTGAAGGTTCCAGACTTAGGGAGGGGCAAGGCCATTGATAGATTTAAATGCGAGGGGAAGGATCTTGTTGTCCACACGCTTGTAATAGGAAGCCGGTGAAGCGAGTCCAGGACTGGAGTGATGGGAGCAAAATATTTAATTTGGTAAAGCATCCGGTCCATGTCATTTTAGACCATCTGTAGTTTATTGAGATACGCTGCAAGAAATCTAGCCTTAATGTGACAAAAGCATGGACCAGGGTTTCAGCAGCAGGAGCAGGGGTGAGGTATGGGCAGGCAATCTTGTGGAGGTGGAAAATGTAGTCTTTGTAACTGAGCAGTTGTGGGGAAGGAAGCTCAGCACAGGTTCCAGAAGGATGCCAAAGTTGCGGACAATGGGGATGAGGGTCTAGCAAATGCTGACGAGAATCAAAAATAATAGCTCCTGTTTTTCTGACATTTAACTAAAATAATTTCGAGCTCATTAAATAATCTAAATTAGATAAACAGTCCAACAGAACTTCTATAGCTCTGAAATCAATGCTGGAGGCAGAATGGTGAAGTTTGATGTCATCAACCCACATGTGAAATCACGTAGGTATAAAATAAAATAAATCACGACGTTTCGGGCACAACACAAGCGTCCATCATCAGGTCAGAAAGCATGGTCTGCTGCTGAGGCAGACTGTTTTAAAAGGTTTGAAATGGGTGTTGCTCAAGGGTCATAAAGAAGTGGCCGGGGCTAGTGATGTTAATGTGAGAAATTAGCGTGTAACTGTAAGATAGGAGAGCGGCCTCCTCGACGAGGGGATGGAAGTGGCGATGTTAATGTGAGAGATTAGCATGATGCTAATGTGAGAAATCATCATGTAACTGTTACATGCTAATTTCCCACATTAACATCATGCTAATCCCTCACATTAACATAGCTACTTCCATCCCCTCGTCTAGGAGGCCGCTCTCCTAGCTTAGTTTTACATGCTAATTTCTCACATTAACATCACGCTAGCATGCATTTCAATGCATTGTTTAAGAAAAGGGTTTAATCTAATAACGGGGTTGTTTTATTTTTGTTATATAGGGTGTCCACAATCCACGACCATTATTACTCCAACAACCACAGAATCAACAACTACAACCTCATCCTCAACAGCTCCTCCAACAACCATCTCAACAACCAGCGAGTCAACAACAAGACCACCATCCACATCCGCTTCTACACTCACCACCGAATCAACAACTACACCCCCACCCACAACAGCACCTCCATCTACCACATCAATAACCGAATCAACAACTACACCCCCACCCACAACAGCACCTCCATCTACCACCTCAATAATCACCGAATCAACAACTACACCCCCACCCACAACAGCACCTCCATCAACAACCTCAATAACCACCGAATCAACAACTACACCCCCACCCACAACAGCACCTCCATCAACAACCTCAATAACCACCGAATCAACAACTACACCCCCACCCACAACAGCACTTCCATCAACAACCTCAATAACCGAATCAACAACTACACCCCCACCCACAACAGCACCTCCATCAACAACCTCAATAACCACCGAATCAACAACTACACCCCCACCCACAACAGCACCTCCATCAACAACCTCAATAACCGAATCAACAACTACACCCCCACCCACAACAGCACCTCCATCTACCACCTCAATAATCACCGAGTCAACAACTACACCCCCACCCACAACAGCACCTCCATCTACCACCTCAATAACCGAATCAACAACTACACCCCCACCCACAACACCACCTCCATCTGCCACCTCAATAACCACGGAATCAACAACTATGCCCCCATCCACAACACATGGATGCATCTGGACATCATGGAAGAGCATTGACTACCCCAATGATAATAATCCATCGAATGACAATGAGACATATGCTCACTACCAGGAGAAGACAGGACATGCCATCTGTGAGATCGGTGTTCCCATCTTAATAGATTGTCGGGCAAGAGGTTATGAAAAAGCAAATTTTGCAGACACGGGGAATGGCGTCACGTGTGATGTCAAAGAAGGGCTCCTGTGCTTGGAAGAATTGCAGGATTGGTCCGGTCAATGTAAAGACTATGAGATCCGAGTGTGCTGTCCTGGTGAAGGAAACACCTCAACAATTACCACTCCAACAGCTATACCATCCACAACAGCACCTCCATCTAGCACCTCAATAACCACCGAATCAACAACTACACCCCCACCCACAACAGCACCTCCATCTACCACCTCAATAACCACCGAATCAACAACTACACCCCCACCCACAACAGCACCTCCATCTACCAACTCAATAACCGAATCAACAACTACACCCCCACCCACAACAGCACCTCCATCTACCACCTCAATACTCACCGAATCAACAGCTACACCCCCACCCACAACAGCACCTCCATCTACCACCTCAATAACCGAATCAACAACTACACCCCCATCCACAACAGCACCTCCATCTACTACCTCAACAATCACCGAATCAACAACTACACCCCCACCCACAACAGCACCTCCATCTACCACCTCAATAACCGAATCAACAACTACACCCCCACCCACAACAGCACCTCCATCTACCACCTCAATAACCACCGAATCAACAACTACACCCCCACCCACAACAGCACCTCCATCAACAACCTCAATAACCACCGAATCAACTACACCCCCACCCACAACAGCACCTCCATCTACCAACTCAATAACCGAATCAACAACTACACCCCCATCTACAACAGCACCTCCATCAACAACCTCAATAACCACCGAATCAACAACTACACCCCCACCCACAACAGCACCTCCATCAACAACCTCAATAACCGAATCAACAACTACACCCCCACCCACAACAGCACCTCCATCTACCACCTCAATAATCACCGAGTCAACAACTACACCCCCACCCACAACAGCACCTCCATCTACCACCTCAATAACCACGGAATCAACAACTATGCCCCCATCCACAACACATGGATGCATCTGGACATCATGGAAGAGCATTGACTACCCCAATGATAATAATCCATCGAATGACAATGAGACATATGCTCACTACCAGGAGAAGACAGGACATGCCATCTGTGAGATCGGTGTTCCCATCTTAATAGATTGTCGGGCAAGAGGTTATGAAAAAGCAAATTTTGCAGACACGGGGAATGGCGTCATGTGTGATGTCAAAGAAGGGCTCCTGTGCTTGGAAGAATTGCAGGATTGGTCCGGTCAATGTAAAGACTATGAGATCCGAGTGTGCTGTCCTGGTGAAGGAAACACCTCAACAATTACCACTCCAACAGCTATACCATCCACAACAGCACCTCCATCTAGCACCTCAATAACCACCGAATCAACAACTACACCCCCACCCACAACAGCACCTCCATCTACCACCTCAATAACCACCGAATCAACAACTACACCCCCACCCACAACAGCACCTCCATCTACCAACTCAATAACCGAATCAACAACTACACCCCCACCCACAACAGCACCTCCATCTACCACCTCAATACTCACCGAATCAACAGCTACACCCCCACCCACAACAGCACCTCCATCTACCACCTCAATAACCGAATCAACAACTACACCCCCATCCACAACAGCACCTCCATCTACTACCTCAACAATCACCGAATCAACAACTACACCCCCACCCACAACAGCACCTCCATCTACCACCTCAATAACCGAATCAACAACTACACCCCCACCCACAACAGCACCTCCATCTACCACCTCAATAACCACCGAATCAACAACTACACCCCCACCCACAACAGCACCTCCATCAACAACCTCAATAACCACCGAATCAACTACACCCCCACCCACAACAGCACCTCCATCTACCAACTCAATAACCGAATCAACAACTACACCCCCATCTACAACAGCACTTCCATCAACAACCTCAATTACCACCGAATCAACAACTACACCCCCACCCACAACAGCACCTCCATCTACCACCTCAATAACCACCGAATCAACAACTACACCCCCACCCACAACAGCACCTCCATCAACAACCTCAATAACCACCGAATCAACAGCTACACCCCCACCCACAACAGTACCTCCATCTACCACCTCAATGATCACAGAATCAACAACTACACCCCCACCCACAACAGCACCTCCATCTACCACCTCAATACTCACCGAATCAACAGCTACACCCCCACCCACAACAGCACCTCCATCTACTACCTCAATAATCACCGAATCAACAACTACACCCCCACTCACAACAGCACCTCCATCTACCACCTCAATAACCACCGAATCAACAACTACACCCCCACCCACAACAGCACCTCCATCTACCAACTCAATAACCGAATCCACAACTACACCCCCACCCACAACAGCACCTCCATCAACAACCGAATCAACAACTACACCCCCACCCACAACAGCACCTCCATCTACCACCTCAATAACCACCGAATCAACAACTACACCCCCACCCACAACAGCACCTCCATCTACCACCTCATTAACCACCGAATCAACAGCTACACCCCCACCCACAACAGCACCTCCATCTACCACCTCAATAACCACCGAATCAACAACTACACCCTCATCCACAACAGCACCTCCATCTACCACCTCAATACTCACCGAATCAACAACTACACCCCCATCCACAACAGCACCTCCATCTACTACCTCAATAATCACCGAATCAACAACTACACCCCCACCCACAACAGCACCTCCATCTACCAACTCAATAACCGAATCAACAACTACACCCCCACCCACAACAGCACCTCCATCTACCACCTCAATAACCACCGAATCAACAGCTACACCCCCACCCACAACAGCACCTCCATCTTCTACCTCAATAATCACCGAATCAACAACTACACCCCCACCCACAACAGCACCTCCATCTACCACCTCAATAACCACCGAATCAACAGCTACACCCCCAACCACAACAGCACCTCCATCTTCTACCTCAATAATCACCGAATCAACAACTACACCCCCACCCACAACAGCACCTCCATCTACCACCTCAATAACCACCGAATCAACAACTACACCCCCACCCACAACAGCACCTGCATCTACCACCTCAATAACCACTGAATCAACAGCTACACCCCCACCCACAACAGCACCTCCATCTACCACAATAACCACCGAATCAACAACTACAACATGTGTGTGGTCCGAATGGTTCAATTCTGATATCCCCAACTTAAGAAATGAAGGTGACAATGAGACATTGGCACACATCAGGGAGAGTGGTTTGGACATATGCCCTATGGGCTATCCTGTGAAAATTACGTGCCAGGTGGTGGGTACTCCACATTTAACCTTCCCCTATTTTGTACAAAATGTCACTTGTGATGTCTCCACTGGACTTCTCTGCCTCAATAAGGATAATGCCCCATTGTGCAAAGACTATCAGATTCGAGTATGCTGTTATCCGATAACCACTACACCCTTCACAATGTCATCAACAACCATACAATCAACTGAATCTCCATCAACAACTGTAACATTCCAGCCTTCAAGCAAATCTTCAGCAACCACTTCAATAACTTACAAACCAACAACTGAGACAACAACCGTGACACTGCCAACCACAACAGTAACATCCATTTCAACAAAAAAGCCAACAAAATCGTCAAGCACAACGCCATCAAAATCTACAATCAACACGTCTACACAAACTCCCACCTGCCTTCCAGTAAGTACTGAACCAAATAAAGAATGTTTTTATTCTGAACAGCATACTATCGCCGCTATTTCAACAGCTCAACGTTTTTGGCTATTCAGATAAGAGGTATTCTAAATTGTTTTTCGAAATTGATTAAAGGTTTTTCACGTAATCAATATTTTACGTTTGTAAGGCGCATTTCATCCTTAGATCCCATAGTTTAGCAAATTTTAGTCTCAAGGTTATATGATAGGGGCGCAACTATAGGGGGTATGCAGCGTATGCGATGCGTAGGGGGCCAGTTGGCCACAAGGGAGTCTCAAATCAACAGATAAGAAAACGTAAGAATCTTTTTTATTGCATTAAAAATTACCTGCACTCTACCATGGACCAAGCCCAATTAACGCATCTGGCTATCATGAATCGATCATAAAGTTGCGCGATCCACACCCTTTAAGGAAATCCTAGACCGATGGGCCAGCATGAAAGTGAGACGCACGATAACTTATTTGTGATTATTGACTGCCTTCTACACAATACACGGTGCAACTGAATTAATATATAGTTATAGCCTTCATATTACTGTATACAGGTTAAAAACATCCGTATCTATGAGTAAAAGTGAGTCGGGAGAATGGAGGGGCCCACATTCGTATCTTGCATAGCCCCCTCGTTGAAATAGGTCGTACCCCTGATGATAGTCTTCCTTCATCCACAGACTCCATTAAAATTATATGGCACTCTATCTCGTGTATTTCGAGATATATAAATACGAAATTAAGTTGTATGACCCTTGAGCTACCCAGCCACTTCCAAGTAGCATGTTTTGAGATATCGTATTTTCATTTCGCTCGCATAACCGTTTACAAAACCATTCCAGATGTGATTTGCCACTAGTGTTAGCCGTGACAAGTTCCACATGTTTATAGTGTATTGCGCTGTCCATTATACCATTAATATGCGGTTGCATTTGTATGGTTTGTAAACGTAAATGCATGTAATTGTATGTATATATTGCATGTCATCTTGTATTTTCTAACAGTGCAAAACCCCAGTCAAGCCAGTATGTGAAAACAAGGCTCTACCACAACTTGTCAAGAAAGGATGCTGTGAAGAATACGAGTGCCCATGTGAGTTTGTAGAGCACATTCAGATGGCCTTCACATTTTAATCTGGGGTTTTCAACACCCCACTGAGCTTTGCCAATTATTATTTTTTCTATCTACGTGAATTTACCGAAAGAACCAGAGAGTATGGATTCCTGCAGTCACGAAAGCTTCAAATCAAGATTGAATTATTGTTTTACGACATGCTCTTGTTCTATTGTAGGTGTACATGATGGCTGTGAGAGCAGTTGTGGGGGCTGATGCCCCCCCCACTCCCCATTAGGTGGAGGCTGATCTCCCTCTCACCACGAGCGGGGGGGGGGGGGGCGCCACGTCTAATTGGTGGGGGCTAATGCCCCCCTCTCCACGAGCGGGGGGGGGGGGCACGTCTAATTGGTGGGGGCTGATGCCCCCCTCACCCTCCACGCGCAAGGGGGGGTGTGACATTTGCCTCCCCCACCCCCGTCCCCTCCGCGTTTGTGTCGCTCGGTGTTCCCCGCGCCCCCGCCCGGGTGACCGCCCCCCCCCCTCCCGTACCAGGGACCGCTCTGACCGACATAGCTAGCGGCTGGCCGACACCTCCTAGGGGTTGATTACGCGCGCGCCCGCCCCCCACTCGCGCGTCCTAACCGAGCGGATTACGTAATAGTATGTGACTCGCCGCTGTTTGGCGTTAATTAATTATTTCCACTAAGCCGTTGTGTTAACAAGGCGAAAGGCCACGGGGGTTACTGATTAACTGGCAGCCACCGACGCTCTGGAGCGGTACGGATATTAATGAATTAATCGGCGCTCGCGCGGTACCCACCCACTCTGCGCGATACCCGCGCGTGTCTCGCCGTTAATACTGCGGTTCTGGCATGTACACGCGCTGGCGCGGGCAACCGTTTATATTTTAATATGCGCGCGCGTCATACACACACACAGATTTATAGTCACCCACACACCGTCGTGCGCCGATCGCTGTCCCACCGCTCTTCACACACACACATGCACCACGCGACAAACATCAGTCTGTGCTAAGGGTTTATTCCCGGAGCGAATAGGGGACCCCTGTTTATGGCCCCCTCCAGCCAGCACCGTTCGGGCAGCGCCTAACCTTCTATCACCTAGCTGTCGCAGAGTGCGTCTATCCTCCAAGCTGTCTGCGAGCTGGGCTGAATTGCCCCCCCCCCCGTACTTACTCACCTTTCCAGCTGCACGATGGGGGTTGGGGAAGATGCCCGCCTCGGAGACTTTGCCTGGCCAATGGTTTTTAGCTGCACCCTGCAGGCGTCCCACGGACGCTGAGGGCGGCTGGTATTCTCTCCCACTCCAGAAGAACTCTCATCCAATTTGCCCTCCTTCCCCCCTTATGTTCCCAAAGCCCGTTAACCCCCGGGTCATATCACGTCATCCTGCGCGTCCAATCGAATCCTTGTCGCAGCCGTTTTAAGCGCTCTAGTCGTTCATCCTCCCCCTGTCCATTGTCTCTGTACCTGCGTTCCCTGCCGCTGACTCACCGATAATCCCCTCGGGCCCTCTCTCTTAAATCCTTCTATATGCCTAGGGGCTTTTCCCTCCCACCCCACTGTTTACACTGCCGCAGGGTGCTTGCCTTGGGGTACCATCCCCCGTGCTGTGTATGCTTCATCGCGGCCGGCCTGTAAAGCTCTATGCCCCCTTTTAGGGGGGGGGCGCCATGTAATTCGGTCTGGGGGGCTCAGCCAATTTCCTGGTCCGGGGAAACCGTGGAACGTCTCTGTTAATGGGGTCCTCGGGTTAAAACCCATCGTACCAGGTGATCCCTCCTCGAGACCATATGGGGGTGCATGTGAGTGTTTAGTGGGGCGTGCGCGCGTTCGTGGGGGGGGGAGGGTGCAAGGAGAGGGTAGCGCCGGCCGAGCTGCTCCGCTGCGGTGGCACCACACAGTCAACTGCCAGGAGATGACAGCACAGCATTAGTTGCAGTCTACCTATAGATTTTGTCCGCTCTCAGGATAGTGTCTGTGGATTGAATCCATCTGTGCGGAGCTTTCAGTGTTGTCCCCTCGTATGCGTGGGGATTTCTCCGGGTACACCAGGTTCCTCCCACTAAAACATGTAAATGCAGAACGCTTCTAAAAATAACCGTTACGACTCTTGAGACAATTAAAGTAGAGGTTTTAGGAGACTAAAGCCAAACATTTTACTGTTCAGTTTTCCAGGTTCTTTCATAAGTGTGATATTAAAGTTAGTGTAAAACCCACTACTACTTCTATGAAGTGTTCACAAAAGTCTAAGGCTTTTGGCATCCGATTAGCAGTATAAGGCAACTCGTGTCAGTTCCCAGCATGTTCTGCGCTCCTAGCCACCATATTATTTATCACCCTAGAGTAGGCTTGCTTTTATTCGGCTGCCATGTGCACAAACAGCCAATCAGAGCCAGCACATCAATAATGACATTAGTTGCACTCTCATTTTGGAGACTTGACACAAATGTTGGTCATTGAGAAGCTTTATGAAAGAAAAATGACAAGTGTTTTTTTATGCTAATGGGTTATTTTATTTTACCAGTTAAGATCTACAGGGCACACACCTGGACTCTAGTTAAACAACAACAAGGTTGCAGGTTTGCCAACAGGTTGGACTCAATTGAAAATATAAGGTTTGATAATTAAACCATCGGATAACAGTTGTAATTTACAAAGTGAAAACATTGAAATTGAGTTGGGCAGGACACCGAACTGGATTATCAAATTACTGATAGGAAACAAATGGCCAATGGAGGGAAAAAGAAACAGAGAAAGGCAAAAAATGTCATGGCGGGATGAGATCGGACAATTTTGAGCACGCAGGATGGAGGTGGTAAGAGAGTGTGAAGAGTGGAAGACAGTGGTGGGGGTGTGGGGGGGGGTCCTTTTCCATGTAGTGGGATGCTAAGGGTTAATGCATAAATAATGCATCTTTGTGTATAGCAGGATGTATGTAGGGCTGCTTGATTGTCATGCTCTATTTTACGTGTGTGTGTGTCCCCACTTTCTCCCCCCTCCCACCCTACCCCCACTCTTAATGCAGGTTTTTGCAAAGGATGGGGAGATCCTCACTTTTTGACGTTTGGCAGCAATAAATATGACTTCCAGGGGGTGTGCCAGTATGTTCTGGTGCAGCAGATCAATGGTTTTGGGATAGACTGGAATTTTCACTTCAAAGTACTTATCGACACGTATGGTTGTGGGGCCAGAGATGGAGTTTCGTGTCCCCAGAACTTGATCATTTCCTACGAGCAGTACGAAATTCGACTGGAGCGGACAGACAACACAACCAACGTAAAGGTATGGGGTAAACATAAATTGACAATTCATGCAATAAATGTGTGAGTTAGACCTCCAGGAAATGATGGTTTGGGATTGTTTTGTTTTCCAGGTATTATTGAATGGGATAACTACTCAAACTCCCTACAAAATTCCAGGTGAGTTGCTCTGATTTCTATTTGCTTCAATGCTGTACTTTATTTGACGTCTTTTCTTTTTGTTAGAATGGTGACCCAAGTCACTCTTGCAAATGCGAGTTACCATCTGATTAAACAAATAAACTTGACCTTGAATATGAACTACTTCTGGGGAAAATATTTAGGCCTGAATACCGAACGACTTAGTTTCATAAGTTAAGACTTGAAAATAACTGTGATTCAATAAGATAGGTTTGGACAAATACACCTCGTCAATTTGGGAGAGAATTTAGGGGTGGTACCACTGTTCGAGTTCAATATTACAGCAGCAGCCTCCATGGCTGCTCAATTCCCACGGTGCAAGCTGCAGTCATACTGCCAGCTGATTGGCTGGGTGCATTGGGAGTAATGACATAATCCTCAGCAACCACTGCTGCGTCCTTAGGCTTGCAATTTCTCTCGGACCTGCATATTTATTTAAAATTACGTTTTAACCTAAATCAGTTACAATCGCTGTGCTGATACAGAACGGATCTTCCTTGCAAACTAGCTGGGTAACTGGCTAAATGAGACTTTGATTAATCCATTAATTGAATCGCAGCCTGCTGGATTGTTGAAGCATTTTCTTCTACTCCGACCCAAGATCGCAGTGATCTGGTGCATGGTGGTCGCCCATCCAAGCACTATCCAGGCCCAATCCTTCGTAGGTTCTGAGGTCTGATAGGGTCGGGCTCATTCCTGGTGATTTGGTTATAGGCTAATACTGTGCATTGTACCTGCTGAAAACATTTTACTCACGGAGTACCATAATTATAGGGGAAATTACTCGATGACCCCAACCTTGTCTGGAGTGCTTATATCGACTTTGAAGGTGGATTTGAAAGAAAAGTAATGTTCTGCATTTCCCAATATTGTATACTTGCTGATAACCTTCCTAAACAAGCAGGCTTGCTTTAAGAAGTCTAATGAATTATATTAGTACCATTAATATCTATTACAACAATGTATTATTCCATAGATAGCAATATGCATTTGAGACAAAAATGTGTGCAGATTGTTTCGTGACGAACCTGTACCATTTGTGAAGGTAATTTCTCCATCGATTACACTGGAATCACCTTGACTGTGAACTTCGAGAAGATTAACTCGAGGATAACCTTTGATGGCCAATTGTTCTTCATTGTGCTGTCACACAAAATCTTTGGGAACAAGACGGAGGGGCAATGTGGTGAGTGGCCATTTCACGTTGCTGCAAATGCGGAGAGTGCTTTCTTCAACAAATTCCACTTAGCATACAATGCAATGTATTTATATAGCATTTAAATGCTACCATATCTCTAGACGCTGTACAGAAATCATTTGGTATAATATAGAGAGAGAGGGAGTCATTTTCATAGTTTGAGGTCCCAATTGTTATGTATTCATATTTATTTATACTGTCTCGTTCATATTATCTTCGTGATATATGTTATTATTGTATTGTTTCCCTTCAACGTGACTTTACCGAAAGAACCAAGAATATGAATCACTGCAGTCACGAAAGCTTTAAATCAAAATATAATGTGCATAGTTCATATGTAGCAGATTCATCGCGCAATTTGATTCTTTGGTGGGTTAGGGTTTATATATCGAACCCACCCTTCACCTGTTGGCCCTGCCTTCCAACAATTTCAGTCACATTTGATGAACACTGATTCCACTCATGGCTTTCCAACAACCAGACTAAATACATTTTTTCTCTTCTGTTTAGTTTAATTTAGTTACATTTTCTCAGTGCCATCTGTGCTTCAGGTTGTTGCTGAATGTGGCACATTATAAATCTTGGATTTATAGATTGACCAAACACTCACCACAGCAAAAGGTGAAACGCAATAGCCATTAACTGTTAAAAAGTCCTAGGCGTGAGGCAACTCCATTTACTTCCCAAAATGAAAAATGAGCTTAAGCAGTTGGTTTCAAACTGGTGGGGTCACGTGGCCCTGGGGGAGGGCGCAGGCTGCGCAAGGGATACCGTGCAGGAACATTTTTTGGATGTGTGCGGGGAACGTCAACGCAACAAAACGCACTCCTACACAACAGAAAACGAGTGCCTTCTGAACACAAAACACACTGATACACAACATAAAACTAATTCCTGAGTAGTACAAAAAATACGAGTACACAACATGAAACACATGCCTTTATAACACTACATTGGCGCGGACGTGTGATCGGTCTGTTTTGTAGCCTGAGTAACTTTAGTTGTGTTTGGTAACTTATGTGGGCAGCGGGGCACGGGGTCCAATCAACGTAATTGGGGGGCCTCCATAACAAAATCTCGGGGAAGACGCTTTAGGGCATGCGGCTCACTTTTCCATTGGTTGACCCTACCAACCAGGCTCCTCTATTCACCTTGTGAATTCACGTGAATTCACCTTGTGAATTCACCTTGTGAATGGAAGAGCTCTAAAGCTTCTTCCCCTAGATTTTGTTATGGATGGAACCTAGTTGTGAATGGAGGAGGAGGCTGAGTGGTTGGCCACAGGCCTCACAGCTGCATTAAATGGACCGTTAATGTTGACACTTGGGGATATGAATGGAGCTCACTTGTGGGCTTTGCCAGATAGGACCCCTGGGAAGGGAGTTCATTTGCGTGTGCTCCGACACTTGTATATATGTAGAACTTCTTTCGCACCGTACATAGGCATCCGTGCTAATCGGAGGTGCGGGAGAGGACAACAAACTAAACACAAAAAGCAGTTCTAAAGAAATGAAAATTTAATCTAGATATTTTGAATCGGCTAAAGAGGTCAATGCAGCGATGTCCATTGCTTGGAAGACACTTCAGGAAGAAGGCTTCATTGCAGGGATATAGATATTCAGTGTATTTGGCTGCTATACGTTTTCACATGATGAGCCACTTCGTTGAGCTGTCATTTGTGGCCAGGTCGCTTCTGAAAAAAGAGCGATATACCTCAGTGGGCCTTTCCTGGTAAAATAAAAATAGTCTATTTTTAGTTTATAAACGTTTATTGGCTGCTGGATGCAGGGCATTAAATAGGAAGTGTATTATGTATATTACAATTATATGATTCAAAAAAAATGTCAACATCTGTTATATTTTGGGGTAATAGACCATTTGGTTTAACCGTTTGTTAAATACTTTAAATTGTATGTGAATTGAAGATTCCTGACACGAATGGGTTGTTTGACGTTTCAGGGAAGTGCAGCAACGTCCCATCAAACGATTGTCGCTTGCCAAGCGGTGTCCCAGTTTCCTGTGCAGTCATGGCAGGCGCCTGGAATACGACCACGTGTAGATACCCCGTACCAACAACAGAAACACCAATCACAACAACACCTTGCCCATCCCAGCCCTGCGACATCCTCAAGAGCAGGTGTGTGTACATATATATTGTCTTAATTGCTGAGTCAAAGCACACACGATTATGATTGCAGTAATATATAATGCATTGTGAGGGCGCTCCACAAGAAGCTCACATCGTTGATATTTTTGACCAGGTAAGAACCCATTGAGACCAGGGACACAATTCATGACAAGTTTTCCAATGGAGAAAATCTTGTACAATTCATGAGCTCGACAGAGTGCAATTCCGGCCTCCAGAGTGGGTGGGGCACAAGCCCACTCTGTTTTTACCAATTATGTATCAATGGTGGGGCAATCTGCACGATGATAAATGAGATTATGATTATTAATGTGATGATGATGATGCTGCTAATCTGTCAACTGCTTGCATATATAAGGCCATATTGGCATAAACAAATTTTATTTTATTAACTTAGTGGCAACATTGTTTTGTATAATGAAAATAAAAATGAACCAAGTACTGAGCCTTCGATAATTCATTTGTAAATTACAGAAAAGAGAAGACTGACAAATTTTCTAATTTTACTCAATGAGTTCTTTGTTTGAGCTTTATTTGCGAACCAGCCTGCTGCTTAATTGCTGATGCCACAGTTTTTCAATATGGGGGAAAATTACGATGCTTCAATGTGTCAGAGCACTTTAAAACACGTGAACATATTTTATTCTTATCCATAAAAGGATAGTTATTGTTTTAAACTGTCCGAATGGCTGTTTTGGTACAGTGTCTTCATCTGAAACCCGATAGCTTTAAATGTAAGAGAGTCAGTTTAACACGTAGGCTTTCGCGACTAATGTCATCCATAATACAGGTTTTTTGGGTTAGATCGCGTAAATATATAAATGTGTCGTTAAACTCGCCACCACCCGACACAGCCAATTAGTAAGATTTGTCACGTAAACAACATGCCAATTCGTTACCAGTACAGCACACCGGTGTGTTGGAGAGCAAAGCCACAACATTTACAATCTGAGTATGACGTTTCGCCAGCAAGTTGTAATTATGGGTTTAACGACACATTTATATATTTACGCGATCGAACCCAAAAAACCTGTATTATGGATGTAAGAGAGTATTTTCCACCAAATAAGGAACAAATTGTAGTTTTACTAAAACATTTTTTAGGAATGATACGTGTGTAACATGTAAAGGGTGCTTTCTTGACAGCAAGAAGCACAAGTGTGACCAAAGTATAGGTCCTCCCATCATGCCTGGAATGTCACATGACATCACCATACTAGGTGCACAATCCCTACAGTCTTGTAATAGACCTACATCTCAAATATGTCAAATATATATTTCGTGTGTATTACATATTCTGACCCTCGTTGCCAGCCTGCACACTTAGAATTGATTTAGTTTATTCAGTGTTTTGACAATATATGCAAATAGTACATTGGCACCTGTGTACGAGTTTCACCTTTCATAGGGATCACAATCATCACATAATCAGTCTGACCATGCTGCCTATAGTTCTGCATGGTTCTTGATTCACTCTTATTTCAAGTGCCTTAATAGGTGCTTGCTGACAGCACCCGCCACAACACTTACCCCAGCAGCCTACCCGAGGATAAACTTATGGATTTATGCCTTTGCGTATGCAGTTTGTTCGCTGATTGCAACAAAATGTTGTCCCCGGACATCTATTATGATTCCTGCGTCTTTGACAAGTGCGCACAAAAGACGAAGAATGCTGCATGTGCCAGTATCAAGGCCTACTCCAAGGAATGTGAAAAACTAGGCTTCTGCATTCCATGGAGGGAAAACACAAATGGGATATGCAGTAAGTACCTTGCCTCTTTCTTCTAGTGAAGTGTTTTTTTTCTGTACATTTAAAAGTAAAAAGATCCAGCCATTCTCCATCCAACAAATGGATGTCATGCATAAGGATTTTGTGACTGTACTTCACCACCCTAGTTAGTCAGGGTTAGTGAAGAGAAGGTAGGACTGGTTTTGGCTGGGAATCAAACTCGGCTCGCCGTGTTAATAATGCAGTGTCCTTTGCTACCTCTGCACACCGAAGGAGGAACATTTACTGGGTGGTAAATACAGGTCACCAACTCGCACTCACTCGTGTGGGGAAGTATAATGGGTGTGGTGAAGCTATATCAGCTATAAATATCTACATATCTTTAGTACGTCACGATTGTGTGTTGTTACAGTGCACTGTAATATTCTGTATTTTTTGTTTACAGATATCACTTGTCCAGAAGGAAAAGTTTACCATCAATGCAGTACAACCTTTGATAAAAGCTGCAATTTGAAGTAAGATATATAACAATATTAATGTGTGAATTTTAATGATATCGGGATTTAAGTACCGTATTCTTGCTCTTTGAAGTCAAAATAAAACAGGGAGATAGACACATCAGTCTCATGGGGTCTCTACATAAATGGTGTGCTGTTTTCATGGTTACTACCAACCGGTTTTCTTGGGCCCAAGAACAACTAAGGAACTCAGTCAGGGCCCTGCCTCTGGTTCCTATCACTGTGTGAGCCACTAGTGTTTGTGGGCTCAGCCACACAACTGCTCCCTACCCACCCTACCTAATCACGGCAGGTGGAAATATTCCTTATGGGGTGGGGGGGGGCTGAAATATATTTTCATTAAATGTTTTAATGACTTAAATGTGTTTTCAAAGTTTCTGTTCAAAAACAAGAGAGCACAATTTTGTCAGCTGGGCGACCCGGGGCTGCGGCTATATAAGTGGCCTGTAATCCTTCCCGTGGGCCTCGAGGAGGCACTTATACCCTGGCTCGCCAGGACAAGGCGACACAGCATAATGTGGGACTCCCATCTGTTCCATTTGTATAGGATAGAGCGTCGGCCCCTTCGCACCCGTGTTTTCTGTGGGTGCTACAGTTTCCTCCGACGTGTAAATAATCACATAATTACTCGATAAAATCTTCATATTTAGACGACTGCAGAGCTTGGGAAATTGTTGGTGCCGGCCTCACCGCTTGGCTGCCTTCCCACTTGTCTGTGGTTCGTCCCTCCGAGTTGTTGTCTCTCTCTTTGTGGAGTGAGCAACAACTGTGCACGTTTCAAGTAAAAAATGTTTTAGATAATGAACAGAGCATTAGAAGACTGACACGCAAGGACACCAGTTCACCAATTGCTACCACGTGCTCTGCTATCGCCAATAAACTGCAACTTGGATCACTACCTGTGAGATCTTCACTCAAAACTGATCTAGAGGAGTTGTACACCCCTAGCTGCCACTGCTATTCAGAATGGCCTGAAATCAAATGTATCATTCCGGATAACTGCTGCAAAGTATGATCTTGAGTTTTGATTATAGTGTGCTGATCTTTAAAGGTGTATTGAATTTTTTTTTATTCTGCTACTGATACTCCTGCTGTTATGGAGTGACTCATGCAGCCAGCTATCGCTGCAAAGTTTGGTCATACATGTTATGTATATCGTGTATTGTTAAATTTGAATCACAGTTCCTATGATCACTGTTACATTGTTTTTATAGCTTTATTTTGGTGATTTTGAAAACGTTTTAGTTTAGCCATGTTTGTTTGTAGTAGTACAGAGTTAGCCTGATAACTTTAATCTACATTGTCTTATGGTTGTTATTGTTTGACTTGCATCCCACTGGGATTTTTGGACACAGCGTTGAAATACGGTGTTTTTTCTGGAAGACTTTGCTGTTTTTTCCAGGATTTTTCTGTTGCGTGTAGTCACATTAAGATGTTTCTTGTTCATGTTTTTGTTTTGTTGCGGTTGCACCCGAGTCAAGAGCCGCATGGCTCACAGGGTTATACCTAATAAATGAAACTGAAAACTGAAAACCTTGATGCAGACAATACTGTATTAACTATTACTAGCAGTATCATATGGAAGATAAGGGTAGTTTCCTAACTGCTGTATTCTTCAATGAACTATTCGCAGAGACATCCCAGACATCAACATCAGCAACAGAACATATGAGGGATGCTTCTGCCCAGAAGGAGAGTTCCTCTTCACCTCTACAGACCCCTCAATGAATGAGTCTTTTTGCGTATCAGACTGCGGTACGTAGACAGTGCCTCTACCTCAACACGTGACATACGCAGGCTGCTGAATTTCCAGTGTTTAATGTTTAATATATTGTGATTATATGGTGTTAGGATAATTATGGTGATAAGGGTGAGGTAAATGGCAGTGCCATGAGAATTGTAAAAAAATGTTTAATCAACTGCTGAATTTGTATTTCAGGCTGTGCTGGACCCAATGGTGAACGTAAAAAGGTAAAACTTGGGTCACTCGACGCTACACGTGTCACTGAATCTGTATACACAGTTGCCAGTCGAGAGTAATTCAATGAGGGAGTGAGTGGAGTAAATTATGACCTTCTCAAAATGGGCTAAAAAGGCGAAATTTTTGTCTTTGCTCAAAATAAAAACATTCCAAAATTTCCTATTGGAACAGGGAGACATTTTTAAAGTATTTTTTTTTTACCATAGACTATGAATGATTGCATCTGGAGGTTTTTAAGAGTGCTGAATACAATCTAATTTTGAAATCTGTAACACGAATTTTTTTGTTTTTCAATCTAGGTCACCAGATCCTGTCTAAACCAGATCTGGTTTCGTTCATTCTTTAATTCTGCTGATAACTACTCTGCCCATCACAGTGATCTCTCTGATGAGTTGCTTACTGCTGTCAATAAGGAGAAGCATGCAGTGGCCTAAGTTTGTGTTTAAGGCGTTTACAAATCACCACCAATACTATCTAGGCAAAGGCCTCCCCCATATTCTGCTCTTCCTTGCTTTCCTTGTTTGTTCCTGTCCAGGAGTGGCCTCTGAACGCTCTTAATTTGATCCGACAATCTCTTTCTCTCCAACAAACCCCCATGAATTAAGACTACCTCAAAATTATTGCATCATGTTCCAAAAATAAATACCAAATTTGGAAAAGCTTCCTTCAGTCGTGACACTCCTTACACGTGGAACAACATTGCAGCTGATTTAAAATTGAAAAACATTTATTTTCAGTTTTTAAAGATCTGTTAGATTCACTGGAAGCAGTGGCACAGTCATCTATGTACCGCGCTACGAACCCATGGCTAACATCAGTGGCAAATGATATCAGAACTGGTTCAGGGCATGCCATTTTAACCACCTGATGAAGTATGGGTAAAGAACCCCCATGACTCGTACCAATTGGAGAGGCCTTAATTCATCAGTGGATTGACAAAGCGTCTGTGAAATCTAAAATTGTATTCACTACTCTGATTATAGTGTGTTTGAGCTATACCTCACTTATGTATAACTGTGTTTAAATGTTAAATTGTATTTAATCTCCCTTATGATTTAGTTTGTGTTGCTTTGGTCCTACGTTGCATATATATGCTCCGGTGTTCTCTATTAACAAAGATCTCCCTTGAAAAAGAGACTATTGGTCTCAATGGGTTCTCACGAGCTGTTATATAAAGATCACTTGACATCAAATGTAATTGATAAATAAAAGTGGAGGCTACACCACCGTGGTCAGTTCAGTGTTGTGGTGACATTCGACTCTATTGGTGGCCCTGAGCCTGTGGTGAAAATTCCATATTGCGATGAAAAAGGGGCCATCCTCCTCTCAGAAAGACGACTGTTAAATTGGGACACAGGCGCAACTCACGCTTCCCCTTCCACCTCTCTCCCCCCACAGCTAAACGAAGTGTGGGACAGCGGCTGCAACGTTTGCGAGTGTAACGCCGGGACGCGCTCCGTGGTTTGCAAACCACGTGCGTGCCCGCTCTTGGGGCACAATAATTGCAATGAGTCCGGCTGGGCGATCAGAAACCCCAACGACGCCTGCTGCCCCGAGTGCAGTAAGTGCGTGCGTGCTTGTGTGTGGTGACGTGGCCGAGCGGCAGCGCGTTTGCTGCTTGTTGCAGAGCTTTGTGGTTTGAGCCCTGCGGCTGCCCTGATTAATACTCCGGGTATATTAATCAAAAATACAAACTGTTTGCGTTACAGTGAACATTAAAGATCTCATGACTATTCGAAAAAGAGTAGGCCATGTGTGCCAATGTCTTGGTCCAAATGTGATAAATTACTGTATTTGGAAATTATTTCATTGGGAAGACGAATAGCAACATTGCCACTTAATGGCACACCAATACACACTTGCAGGCCAGTTCTCCATTCACCTTGTGCCAAGCAGGGACAGCTGCCATTGGGGGTCCCCTGCCGCAAGGCGCCTTGAGATGTACCGCATGAAGGCGCAGTATAAATATTAAATGAAGATACATATACGCGTGCACACACACACGCTTGCGTACGTGTGCGTGCATGCTTGTATGTGTGTGTACTTATCTTTGTACAATGTGCTGCAGATAATTATGTTCACATAAGCATGAAATAAAATCAGTGGAGAGATGCCATAGATAACAGGGTGGATTTTCCGTGGGGGGCTGAAGTCTTCTCTAACCCTGCCAGTATGCCAAGTGGGGAGCAATATTGATCCTGCCTATGCAAGTGTGTGATTTGTTTTAACTTCCTTAAGTAAAATCTGCATCTCATTGTTTAAATTTGTGTTTTATTTGCTTGTTTCAGTGCGCGTGTGCCTTTACAATGGAATAAGATACCCGGTAAGAGTTGCCACTACCTTCATTGACGATCTGCCTGTGTATGACAGTGTGTGTCTTTTGCCGTGCCCGACCTTAATATATCCTTGCGAACAGCACTTGCCCTAACAAGCTATATCGAAGATATTTTTACAGAAAAATAGTCTGATTAAAACTGCGTGTATTTACGAAAAAAGAGTGCGCCGTTAATGGCTGTAGATGCCATGATATCTTTTGAAAGAGTAGGCTATTGTGTGTCAACGTCGTGGTCCAAATTTGCCAAAGTTGAAAAATGATCCAAAAATTACAATGGGGGTTAAACATAGCAAGTACCCCCCCCCCCCCCCTCCCATGGGCAGACCACAAATTTTGGGAAATTGTTGGTGGCGGTTTCTGGCTGCCTTACAAATATTGTCTGCGGTTTTTCCATAGGTCAGCACCCAAGTGCCTTCGATGGATTGCTCCACTTGTGAGTGCACGAATGAGATCGATGATGCAACAAAGTTTAACAAGATCACGTGCGAGAAGATAATCTGTAATCAGACTTGTCAAACGGTAAGATCAACCGCACACCCGTTTCACTCTGACTGCATGCATCCTCCTGGATTTTCTCCACACTGGAATAAAATAAGAGTAAAGAATTGGCCAAATATCCCCATGAAGGACCAACCCTATTGTAGCCTGACCTTGTTTAAAGGGACGGCATATACGAACTCAGGGTGGGAAATGTCACAGACATTGAGAATATTACATTCTCACAGCAGACTCTCTCAATCCCTATTCTTCTTCACCGGTAGACTCTCTCAATATCTTATCTCTCTGGTTGGGCAGCGCATTGTGTTCATATCCCTCAACTTAAATCTTGGATGGAAGTTATCTCATATCATCATCACCCCACTCTGGGGGTGATAAAATAGGTACAACTATGTGGGTAGTTGGGAAGCCAACAGTGATTGTCCTACTAAATGACTTGGCCCTGCCATAGGAATGTAGAATATGCGCCATTGGCTCAGAGCTGTAAACAATAAATGGTGTCCCACCATGATATGTCATTGGCTTTTTAAACTTATGCAATTTATATAAACACACGTTAACAAAATTACAACTTCTTTGGTTCTTTCGGTAAAGTCACGTAGAATGAGAATAAAATAATAAATTGATAAAATAACACAATAATATTATTGATAAAATAAAATAACACAATAATATTATTGTGTTATTTTATTTTATCAATTTATTATTTTATTCTCATTCTACGTGACTTTACCGAAAGAACCAAAGAAGATGAATCATTGCAGTCACGAAAGCTTTAAATCGAAAAATTACAACTATACATAAAACATGAATGGCATACAGTACTATGAAGGTATTTTGTTGGAAATGTTATTTATACAGTGGTCATAAAAGTATCATCAATTATAAAGTCATTGTAGTTAGACTGCAGTTTGAACTGCATGGTTGAAATGTTATAAGCAAATTCCTTCTTTGCTTACATTTTATTTATTGTGTTAAAATGCTTGAGCGATATTCAAAATCACAGAATGCCATGGTGGACACGTGGAGGTTAGATGGATGAGACTCAAAGAATATCATCTACACAATACCAAGTGTGTGTATTGTATGTGTTGTTTCAAACTGGGGTGTTAAAAGTTTTGGTGATGAATTCTGTCTTTTAACTGTGTGTATATACATATATGCAAAAATCCCAGTATTTCATCAATAACCATGATCTATCCACTGTTGGATGAAGGCTTCCAAGCCATTGTCATCCCTCAGCCCTGCAATAACACAATCTATCTTGCACACGAGCTGAACTCATTGCTCCATCTCTCTCGTTGACATCCTCTCTGTGGTTAATCTTGATCACCAGTCATCATACCTTCTCTCGACGTGTCCTGGCGAAGCCCAATTATGTTTGTTATGTTGTCTGGATTATATATGCCCTGACCTAAATGTTACTGTTTCTGTCCATGAGTTGTAATTTCAATGCTCATTGGGATTATTCATAGTAATCATTGCCCACTACTCCAAAACGTGGCAGTCTTGAAAGAGAATGTCTTGAGACTGGGTAAACAAGCATAACCATAAATATTAATGTTAATTTTATTTTTCAATATCCATGTTTGTGAGAAACATGTTATAGAAGGTAACAACCCTAATTAAACAAAATTCGCCACGAGGAGAAATCTTGATGCCTTTAATTTTGTTTCTCTGTCCCAAATCCTGCAGGGATATGAGTACGTGGACCAACAGGGGGCGTGCTGTGAGTGCAGGAAGACAAACTGTACCTTTAACATGTCTGGAAGAGTAATCTTGATACAGGTAAAGTGTCTACACGATACTTAGTGCAGACTCGATACTCACCGTGTAATAGCAGTGCCTAAATACCATGTATACATACACACAAACTCGTTAGAGGTGGCTGAGTGACGTAATATAACCGTGGGTTCTCTGACCTAAGTGTTCCCCCTTTCTGTCTGTCAGGATCATTCCAAGCACGCATTTCTCTATGCGTCTTTGCACAATTTTCAGCTGGGATTGAATTCAGATTTCGACTATCTGTGATTAAACCAAATAATGAAGAGTAATGATGCCAACACGTTTACTAATTACTGATCGGTAACCCACGTTATATCATGTATGTGTGTATGTATGTAAAGGAGTGTTACATACCGAGTGGAAGTGGTCTGTTCATAAAGATCACCCCTAATGGTGGAAAATGCGAACATCTGCAATTCTACAATATTGTTTTACTTGGTTTGTTATTTTACAAGTGAGCAAGCATGGGCATAGTTAAAGTTGTTAATCATGACGTGATTTGTGTTGATGTAGCCTGGAGAGCCTGTCCAAGACCCTCAAAACAACTGCACCACTCTGCATTGTGCGCACTTTTGGCATCATCAGGTCCAACACCATGTGAGACTAGGCTCTAAGGAAAGCTGTCTCGGGTGTGGACCAATCAATTTCAAGTACAGTGCCAATACATTATCAGAGTTATGTTTTTGTTTGCATTCCGACCGCAGGTATTGTGGTCAATGCAAACATGACTCCTTGTAAAAAAGGTGTCAGTTTTGTTGCCAGATAAAAGGGTAAAAAACGAATTATTCTATGATATTGTTTTACTTGGTTTGTTATTTTCCAAGTGAGCAAGCATGGGCATAGTTAAAGTTGTTAATCATGACGTGATTTGTGTTGATGTAGCCTGGAGAGACTGTGCAAGACCCTCAAAACAACTGCACCACTCTGCATTGTGAATCTACCATTGGAGGGCCAAATGAGAGGACACAAATCGTTCAGTGCCAGTACAAGTTTCCTGAAGATTGCCCACCGGTAACAACACACAGCAGTGCTTCATGGACACCGTGTTAAGAAGTGTGTTGTGGGGAGGTGGCTGGGTGACTCAGAGATCAGAGCAAATGAGCTGACACTGTCATTAAACCAAGTTGATGATCTGAGCCCAGTCACTGCAAAAAAAACATCGTATTGAATTTGGCAATGCACCTCATTTAAGATTTTGTTGTATCTTGTTTGTCAATATCCATGTTTCTGATCAATGTGTCATAGCAGGTTGCATAACTCGTTATCATATAATATAACCATTCAGTTGATACAAAATTAATAACTACGAGTGATCTCCAAGCCCTGACACTTGTTTCTGTGTTCCAAAACCTGCAGGGTTATGAGTACATTCACAGAGAGGGGAAGTGCTGTGGAGAATGTGTGAAGTCAAAGTGTGTCTTTAACATGTCTGGAATAGTCACCGTACTGAAGGTAATGTGTGTACACAGCACTTGGTGCGTACTTGGTATTTATACTGTTATTCCCAGTGTCTATATGCAGTATATATGTGCACAGAGTAGAAATAGCTGTGTGGCTCATTGGGTAAACCAAGTTCTGAGTTTTAGAGTTGAAGTTTTCAGTTCAGTAACTAACGGCTGCACAAAAATAGCACGACATTAAATTCGGTTTTCACTTAATTTGAATTGCAGCTCTTGAGATGTAAAAATATCTGTTTGACTGTATTGCGATGAACATTACTCTCAGTGGCAAATAATCGCTTATGTATTTATGAAACGTGGCACATAACACTATGGGAGTCTTTAGTTCACCCTGTTCACTGCTTGCATGCATTGAAAATTCCATGATAATTTCTAGAACATATATTTTTAATACGTCTTGTTAGTTTTCAAATGAGAAAACATGGGCGTAGTTACTGTTATTAATCATGACATGTGTTTGTGTTGATATAGCCTGGAGAGATTGTGCAAGACCCTCAAAATAACTGCACGACTCTACATTGTGAATCTACCACTGAAGAGCTAATTGAGAGGACACAAAGTGTTCAGTGCCAGTACAACAAGCGTGACGATTGCCAACTGGTAACAACACACAGCAGCGCTTTAAGGACACCGTGTTAAGAAGTGTGTTGTGGGGAGGTGGCACTGTTGAAAACCTGGGTTCCAAATCCGGGTTTCAGGTGCCTGTCATTAAACCGCGTTGATGGTCTGAGTCCAGTCAACAGTGACTGCAAAAAAAGGCGTATTTAATTTGGCAATGCACCTCAATTAAGCGTTTGTATTTTGTTTGTCAATATCCATGTTTCTGAGCAATATATCATAGGTTACGTAACTCGTTATATAATGTAACCATTCAGTTGATAAAAAAGTAATAACTACGAGTGATCTCCAAGCCCTGACACTTGTTTCTGTGTTCCAAAACCTGCAGGGTTATGAGTACATTCACAGAGAGGGGGAGTGCTGTGGAGAATGTGTGAAGACAAAGTGTGTCTTTAACATGTCTGGAATAGTCACCGTACTGGAGGTAATGTGTCTTCACAGCACCTGGTGCTGACTTGGTATTTATACTGTTATTCCCAGTGTCTAAAGGAGGTATATATACAATAGACTGTCGATTATGCACGCTAATGACGGGGAGGACAGCCTTGGATAATTTAAAATCACGGATAATCCAAAAATATAAATTTTCCGCGGATCTCCATGCCAAAAAAACCGAATATACGATCAACCGATCGATGCACGTGCTCAGTGAAAACATTCCTGCTGCTCCCGCGCAAAAGACTCCGCCCACTAAGTGGGTCCCAGAGCCACACCAATCAAAATCAATCAAACTCCGCCACTGTTGTAAAGATATGCAACTCCTGTATTGGAGTGGTGATCACATGGATTTCTGATTAACCGGAGCACATATTTGTTCGATTTAAACACGTTACTTGTAATAAATATTTCCAAGAATAACAATGTGTATAACTATTTTTAGATAATTAATTTCGGCTCAAGGGAAAATCCATGAGTTATTAATTCACGTCAAAATTTCAGGTGCGCGGCTAATCCGCCAATCGGATAAACCGCACGCGGATAAAGGAGTCTATTGTATATGCACAAAGTAGAGATGGCTGTGTGGCTCATTGGGTAAATATAACTGTGTGAGTGTACGAGACACTGAGCCACCACCAACTGAAAGGCTGGATTTGAATTCAGGCAGCCACCTTTTATTAAACCAGAATTATAGAGTTGATGTTTTCAGCCCAATAACCAACAGCTGCACAAAAAGATCACGACATTAAATTCGTTTTTTCACTTCATTTGGATTAATCACGGCTCTGAGATGTAAAAATATCGGTTTGACTGTCATGCGATGAACATTACTCTCAGTGGTAAATTATCACTTAGATATTTATGAAACAGGACACGAAACACTTTCTGGGAGTCTTTTGTTCACCCTGTTCACCGGTTGCCTTAATTGAAAATGCCAAGATCATAATTTATAGAACATGTTTTTTTACATAAGTCTTGTTATTTTTCAAGTGAGAAAACATGGGCGTAGTTACTGTTATTGATCTTCACATGTTTTGCGTTTATGCAGCCTGGAAGGACTGCGCAAGACCCTCGAAACAGCTGCCTGACTCTACATTGTGACTCTAGCATTGGAGGGCCAATTGAGAGGACACAAACCGTTCAGTGCCAGTACAACAATCCTAAAGATTGCCAACCGGTAACAACACACAGCAGCGCTTCAAGAACACCGTGTTAAAAAGTGTGTTGTGGGGAGGTGGCTGGGTGACTCAGAGATCAGAGCGATGAGCTGACACTGTCATTAAACCAAGTTGATGGTCTGAGCCCAGTCACTGCAAAAAAAAACATCGTATTGAATTTGGCAATGCACCTCATTTAAGATTTTGTTGTATCTTTGTCAATATCCATGTTTCTGATCAATATGCCATAGCAGGTTGCATAACTCGTTATCATATATTATAACCATTCAGTTGATACAAAATTAATAACTACGAGTGATCTCCAAGCCCTGACACTTGTTTCTGTGTTCCAAAACCTGCAGGGTTATGAGTATCACAGAGAGCGGGAGTGCTGTGGAGAATGTGTGAAGACAAAGTGTGTCTTTAACATGTCTGGAATAGTCACCGTACTGAAGGTAATGTGTGTACACAGCATTCGGGCAAACTTTGCATTTCAACTGTAATTACCAGTGTCTATATGAAAAACATATACACGCGTAGTAGAGTTGGCTGAGTGGCTCAATGAACTAACACAAATGTGTTGAGCATCAGACACACTGAGCCTGGTATTGTCCGGATTTCAACCCCCTGCATTTAAACCAGGTTTTCAAAGTGTAGCAAGTAGATGATGTCAACAAGTTCAGGAACAACGACTTGAAAACACGCCACATTACATCCCCTGTCCCCAACTAACCATGGTCACCCGTCATCAATCCGTTAATCTCATTTCCATCTCCGTGTATTCCACGCGTCATCACCAACACCTCATTTTACACATGTATTCCATCCACTCATCTCGTTTCATCTCGCCAACCATCTTGTACCACAGTTCACTGTACAGCGCCTCGGTTAAGGTGCTCTAGAAATTGCTGATAAGACGACAAGATAATATCTGCTTTCCGCTTCAATTCAGCTCATTTCCAACTCTGACTACACCATTTTTGGGCTTGGGTTTCCACGTGAGGTCTCACCCACGGTGGATGAGAGGCAATTGCAGTGACTTAAGAAAACTGATTTTTTTACAGAGGCATTTCTCAAACAGCCTACTACGAGAGGAGTTTCGAATGAAATGCTTACTACGAGAGGAGTTTCGAATGAAAATGTGTTCGTGTCCCGTGATGTCGATTGCACTCACAATCACAGGAGGTTGTGAGTTCAAAATGTCCGAACCAAGCCGTGTTTTACTGTGGTGGGAAGTCAACAGTGATTATTCCTGCATAATAAAACTGGCCCCCACCATTGGAATGTGAAATTTCCACAATTAGCTTTGGGTCACCGATGGAGATAACCACCACTCAATTTATACATAGATAAAGGTGACTTTTAAAATTATTTAAAGCACTTAAGACGAAGTCATTCAGGGTAAAGAATCGATTTAGTGTTCATGAAATTCAGTTTTTAAACACCGGCCGGGAGTCTTTTGTTCACCTGTTGCCTTTTTAACTTCAAATTTCTAGATCATATTTGTACGCAAGTCTTGTAGTTTTCTAAATGAGCAAACGTGGGCGTAGTTACTGCTATTAATCATGACATGTTTTGTGTTGATGTAGCCTGGAGAGACTGTGCAAGACCCTCAAAACAACTGCACGACTCTGCATTGTGAATCTACCATTGGAGGGCTAAGTGAGAAGACACAAACCGTTGAGTGCTCCCCGAATTTCAACCCTGACGACTGCCTGCCGGTAACAGCACACAGCAGCACTTTAAGGACACCGTGTTAAGAACCGTGCTGTGGGGAGGTGGCCTAGTGGCTCAAGAGGTCAGAGCGATGAGCTGGCACTGCCGAGAACCTGACTTTGAATCCGGCCTTGTGATTAAACCGGCATCTCAAGTGCAGTGAATTGATGGGCTCAGCCCAGTCGTCGATCACCACGCAAAAATATCAACGCGTTAACGTTCTGCAAAATCCTGCTCTGAGAATGAAAAATGTAGCTTGGGCTGCCAATGTGACGAACATGACAGCGAGGTAGCTGGGAAAGTGCTGCCTCCTGCTGTGTGAATCAGAGGTCACTGTTACGTGATCTCCGAGGTTGCTCTGTAATATCCACTTTTATGGGCCGTTCTCGAACACTTAGAGATCAGAGGGCATACTTAGTCTCATAACGTACCTGTGTATTTTAATAAAATCAAGTTCCCTCCACATTTGGGCCAGGATAAGCAGAATATGGAAACTAAGGTTTAGGGTTCCTCCTGATACTTGTCCCGAATGGGTTCCTTAAACATGATTAGACTGACACACCAGAATCTGATTGGGTCTGTAAACGAGGATAAAGATTTTTATATATATGTCGCTTAAATGCACCAACATATCAAAGTACATTACATCACAATGATTCCAATCTCCAGAAGACGCAGCACTGGCCTGCAAGTGGACATTAGTTGGTCAGTGGGGGGCGATGTTGCTAATGGTGTCTGGTGGGATATTTGTGCATTTGGTTTATGCCTATTATAACGCATCAATAGAATATATATGTTCGACTGTCAAGTGCTGTTAATAAAAGTGTGCTGAAAATATATGCAATGTGATTTTTTTCTCGTTTAGGGAACGATCAAGCTGGATGAAGCAAATTGCTGTAAAACCTGTAAGTGATCAGAAGTAAATGACTCTTGTAAAAATCAACGAGAGATTATTTTATAATGCGTGTTCTTAATAAACCCACCAATAGAGCAAATGGCTCACAATTGCGATGGTTGCGAGTTCCAATCAACAATGATTGCTCTATGGATACTTGCCCCTGTAACAGGAATGTGGAATCTCCACCACTGCCTCAGGGCTGTACACACGAGATGAGCACCACCCACATTCTCTTTTGAGCAGGAAATCATTTTGACTTTTTGGACTATTGCTCCTCATTGAACCAATTCAATGGGCATTTCACGGTCTCACCCCCCTACGAAGTTTATACAAAAATTGTCATTATTGTGAGTCATATTTCAATTTACCGGTACATGTTATTTCTGAGTATATCATTTGGATGAATTGTAAATCAATTCTTAAACACACAACATAGTGCATTTGTCATACCAGAATTCCGTTTGAGGCATTTGTGAACTGTAATACATCAGATTATCATGGTTGGCTACGTACGGTGCGAAAGAAGTTCAACATACGCACATGCGTTACCCCTGATCAAATCACCCAGAAAGCACCGGGTCTCATCAGATTTCGGAAGCTAAGCAAGATTGAGCCTTGGTAGTACTTGGATAAGTGGCCAGCATGCATAACAGGCGTTATAGATGCACGGCAAGGCTACGTTGCGGGCAGTGCAACGTGATTAGTTGCCACTCCTGAGTTGAGCATTACTCCATAGTTCCATTTCCATTTATTTGGTATAGCCCTGTGAGCCATTCGGCTCTTGAATCGGGTGCAACCGCAACAAACAAAAAACAAAAACATGAACAAGAAAACATCTTAAAGTGATTATGTGACTGTGCAAACAGAAAATCCAGGACAAAAACATCAAAATATTCCTGAAATAGCACCGTACACCAACGCTGTGTGCAAAAATCCCAGTGGGATGCAAGTCAAACAACAACAACAACAACCACAAGACAACTAAGATTTAGGCCATCAGTCTAACTCCGTTCTACAATAAACAAAAACATGGCCAAACCAAAAAAAACGTTTTTGAAATCACCAAAATAAAAGCCATAAATGCAATGTAACAGTGATCATAGGGACTGTGACCGAATTTTTAACAATAAACTACATAAATAAATTATAACACCAAACCCTAGAGCCATATTTTAGGCCACTGAATAGCAGTGGCAGCTAGGGGTGTACAACTCCTCTAGAGCAGTTTTGAGTGAAGATCTCATAGGTAGTGATTCAAGTTGCAGTTTATTGGCAATAGCATTCCAGACCCTGGGGGCATCAATAGCAAAGGCCCTTCCTCCGGTTTTTGTACGGCAATAGGGAATGTGAAGCTGATAAATGAGCGAAGACCTGAGGTCAAATTTGTTCTTTGAAACAGAGAGGAGATCCAGTAAGTAGTCTGCGGATTTTTTTGTAAGTACATCGTGAATAAATAAGATCTGGTGCACAAGCCGTCGAACATTAAGAGATGTTAAGTTTGACCCAATGTAGAGATCACAGTGGTGAGTCACGGAGGCTGTGAGTTGTGAAGCAACCTCGGAGACCCTGTCACGTAGTTATTCTCTGCCAGTGTCAGAGCCTCAACTCCACACCTCATATTCTCCTGCATCTCAACAATGACTATCCTGTTAAGGACCTGGCTCTTGCCTCAGGAATGCGGAAGGGCTTTCACCCACACATAGCAATCAGGGCAAACAGTGCAAATTGCTCATGTTTCACTGTATTATCAACAAAAAATCCCAGTGGTGTTCATATTATATTTTATTGTGCCATATTTCAATAGTTTGATTTGTGTTCATATTTTTTCTGTCCTCAGGTGAACGGCCGCAAGGCAATTGCCGACGGTTCAACTCGTCCAAGTACATCTTCTACGGCGCGTGCAGAAGTGTGGAACCCGTGGAGGTGGTGTCTTGTGAAGGCGCCTGTCCCACCTACTCCATGTACGTTCGGAGTCTCTGTTTGAGCAAATACTGTTGAATATTTATGTTGTAAAGAGATTTGAATGGCAATGGACCGAGTTGAAAACTGTGCGTGTTTTAGTTTGGAAAAGCCTTTTGATGGTGTGTGGGGGAAAAAGATTGGTGATGTGAATGATGGATTGCACTACGCTACAGCTACAATCCCATAGACCCACAGAGACCTATAGACTCCCATAAGAGACCCATAGACTACCATAGAGACCTACTCTTTACAAATTGATGCGAGTCATGGACCGCACCTTACTGCAGTCACAGTTATGCTTATTGATAACTCGAGGAGGAGGCAGCCGCAGCTCCCATCCGTAGTTAGAACACGGCTAAGCTGAGTCCGGTATCTTTGTAGCAAGAAGCTATATGTAGCGAACCGTGAAATAACAGTGAGCTCGGTGACTCCGGTGCGTCCAGGTACTCGGAGCAAGCAAACGACATCAACCACACGTGCAAGTGCTGCCGAGACGTGAAGACTCGCCCACGGAGCACAAGCTTCCTCTGCTCCAATGGAACGCGGATCGATACCGCGTACACCTTCATCGAGGAGTGCGGCTGTAAGGCGTTCGCCTGCAATCGCAGCACGCGCAGCATCGCTGACGACTTGACCCTGGTAGGTGACGTGGGCCTCGATTACTCGCACAGGAACCGCCTGGTGCGCAAGAGAGCGCTGAGGGTGCAGGCGAATCCGTGAGTCGGGGCTAGGGAGACGTGAGGGCGGTCGTGAGCGGGTGCAGTAGTGATCGGGGGATTATCAGTTAACCGCGATAGACTGGTGGGGAAGCCTGTGTTCAGATAAGCACAAGGGAGGAATTATAAAATGTTACTTAAAATTAACTAGCAGCGTCGTGTTACATGAAGCTTTTTTTTGTTTTGTTCAGACCATTCTGGCCAGAATGACCCAATGGCTAACATTCATAATGAACAGCCCTTTATGTCAATCCACTGATGAATGAGGGAATTCAAATGCTGTGCGGGTCATGGCAATTACCGCATTTGAAGGTGGGGACACAGGAGTTCAGTACTAAAATTGATTTTGGTGCACTGCCCTCTGCTACCTACCAAGTAACTCCACAGCAGCTGACAACAACAATCTGCCGCTGTGCACGGTGATCATCCAATAATTGTCCAGGCTCAAATTTGCTTAGCTTCCAAGTTCTGACTAGATCAAGGGCATTCCGGATGATATTGTCATAGGCCGAATTGATAATACAAGCGAGGTCATGTAGTGCCTGCCACAACAAGCCAACCCAAGGTATCAATCAACCTTCAGTTTAAAAGGGGATCAATAACCATTTAAAACTATGACTCGCTCGTCGCCCTCAACATCGTCACCAACACCACGTGTTCGCAGTGCACATCACCAGGATGTCGTCGTTTGGCCCGGGCATTGCTTTGCCGTCATCCATGGGGAGGAAACGGTGATGTCATCGAAGTTCAGAGGTTTTATGTCAAAGGGTAGGTGTGATGGGGGATGTCCTCGCATGTCGGATGTGCTGCATGGGCAGATCAGGAAACACCGAGCAAAAGACGTAACGAAGATGGGTGAAAGGGGTCAGGACGAATAATAGGCTAGACACCGGTATTTTAACATCGTCAATTACCAAATAACTACTGCGTATGTGCGGTTCACGTAATTGCAGATAATTGACAGTCTGCTGCATCGGAATAGATTGGAAAAATATCTGGGTGGAAATGTTTAGAGAAGTGCAAGATGTGGTAAAGTGATTATACCACTGGGTTGGACAACCCTACTGAGCTAAGCCATAATTTTAAAAGCACAACAATGACTTCTACAAGGTGAATATAATTAAGTGGAATATTGGGTTTTTTGTCTTACTGTTATGATACTTGCATTAAGCTTATGACACTTGCATCAAATCATGTGTGAGCATTGTTGTAACACATGAAACAAATATGTAAACGGTCCGTTCATATCACATGTAAGCTGTTGGAGCAGACAAAACCATACAATCAATGCAGAATAAAGAAGATTGTAAAAACTTGATGGTTATAAAATGAAATCGTGACCCTGAACAGTGACTGACATTTATGTGGAATGAATTGTTAATTGCCTGAGAGTTTCAGATGGGTACATTGTGTGTGTTGAGTGCTCTTTAAAATCCAAAGTAACCTGTGGGATTGCATAGAAGATAAAGGTATTAGATGCAGGTATGACCTGAACTGCAAGCAGCATGTGGATGTATGTGACACAACTTGCCCGGATTTAATGTATATATTTTTTATTAACTTCCTTTATACACACTGAAAAAAAATCAACAAACCATGTTCACAATTTAAGTGGGGGTTTTCTGTTAAACGGGTTAAAATCTGACTTTTGTATCTCACCAAGACGAATAAACAATATGAGCATCTGAATTTGGTTTCCTAGTTGTTTTGTACCATGCACAACATTTTAAACGTGTGGAACAAAGCGCATTCATGCAAATCAAGAGCTTCATTTTAAATGTTGTTCACGAGCTTCTGATCCTCATGGCAGTACCCCGGGGTACCAAATATTACTAAATGGCCGAGGCAATTAAATACTTTATTTCGGGGACACTATTTTTTCCAAGGGTGTTACTTAACTCCGCGACTGGGGTACCAATCAATCCGAAATCAGTGCCACACTCTGCGATATCGAAACGCCAAACGTTAGCAGAAAAAATCCGTAATCGAAAAATTCAACTTTGAATAGCGCATCGTGTACAGCTCGTCGAGATGAGTCGATTGCCGCATCGCCCACCATCAACAGACTAAAAATTACTGCGTCACGGACATTGTGCGAGAGCCGGGGTTCTATGGTACCCTGTGGTACCGCCATGAGGTTCATTTACAGAATCATCATGGCCTCGGTCTGAAGCCCATGAATAGATCGAAGCTGTTAAAATAATTTCTGGTCCATGGCCGGAGACCAGGGGCAAAAGCGCTTCAGTGACAATTTCCATTCGTTTGTCAATTTAAAGCATTAAAGGTTAATGGAGAAAAATATTCGATTCAAATAATTTGTCCAGGTCTCATTTAGACGAGGTCTCATTTACATCTGGCGGTGTTATTTATATAAACTGGAGGTGTGATGCGTGTAGCGTCGCACGAAAATCTCCCTTTGTAGCGTTGGCGAGAGAGGAAATAAACCACTCGAGCCCCTTATAGTAGCTCAGTGTCGGGTTTGTTAATGTCCTCCCTTGAGCAAACTGTCATGGGAATTTTATCATCCATGGTGAAGCGGACAGCAAGTACTAAGGGGCCGTCCATAAATGACGTCACGCGATTTTGGACGATTTTTGACCCCCCCCCCCGTTCGTCACACGGCGTCACAAAAAGTCAGACCCCCCCCCCTCAAAGATGATGTCACAAAGCTCTGCCCCCCCCCCTCAAAATAAAACGCGCTTCAAATCGCTTTAAACTATTGTCATTGTAGTGCGTATTTAATGTGGCGTTGCACTCTGAGGTTGTAGGAGAAAACATTTATCAAAAAGTCTATTTAATGAAGTAGAACGTGTTGTCTATATTTATTTAAAGTTGCGCATTTTGATGTGACGTCACATTTCTCAAACCCCCCCCACCTCGTCACACGTCACAAATGTCTGACACCCCCCCCCAGGTGCATGACGTCATTTATGGACGGCCCCTAATTACGGTTCGTCTAAAATAATCTGCCTGTGCCGACATGCACTACAGGCAATAATGTATTGAACGTTTATTTATGTTTCTGCAAGATTTAAAATTTCTAATCACCCGGTTGTTTTTGCCGACCCAGATCATGCTTGCAAAATGAGACGATCGTAGTCTCGTGCTGGTTAAACAAACTTGAGCTCACTCACCATCTCAATCATTTACCCACTCAGCCACCACCATCTCACACAGTAATTCACTCCATCATTCACTCACTCACCCATTCCCTCACCCACTCATTCACCCACCCACTAACTTTTGTGCTTGAGACTATTCTGGTAACTTGAGTTCTCATCTGGTTAAAATTGAATTCAACAGGTTCCGTTACTCACTCCCATGGAAGTTTGGGGTTTTGGATAACCGTGAGGAAATGGGTCCTCGATAGGGCTCCGTTGGATATGTACAACCTTTTTAATAATCAATACGTAATTAATATTAGATTTATAATTGTTAATTACAAGTGCCATTAAGTTGCTCTCGTTTATCCTCCATGTATGTTGAGCTCATTAAAACAGACCGTTCGTTCCTTTCAGCAGAGTCATGTGGTCTAGGAAGGGAGGCTTTCATTCTCACGCCCAGAAATAAATCAATAAGTGAAATCGCACCTGGGACCTTCGCGAGAAAAAAAGGCCCTTTGTCCGAAATTAGTTGAAATGTTTGTCCTTGCAAGAAGTAGCCTACACCATACCTGGATATAGCATCCGGCCTACCAGTCTAAAGACTAAGGTTCTACATCGTCCCATGGTCTGGTTGCATTAACGGGAGTTAATATTTACGAGTGAAAATTGTCATTTAATATTTAACTGAACGTTCTCAAATCAGTCTATGCGAAAGGCATGGCTCCCAGGGGCTACCTCACGCACGCAGAAGACCCACTGGTAATTGTTCTGATGTATCGCTGGTAGAATTTTCTTGATATTGTTCGGTCTGTTGCGAGATGCACAGACTTTGTTTTTCCAGAGAATTGTCTGGTTTTGCCGATATTTTCCTATACTGTTAAGTATTTGGAGAGTAAACTCTTTCGTTCTAACGCCAGTGCGTTTCCATATTTTAAGGCTATATAATTGAGTTTGCATGTTTTACTGTAGTCGCTGTGGGTTGGTTTTGATATATCTGTTAAGAAGTGCAACATATACGTGGTCCTATATTGTTGGGTATTGCACACAAGTGCATACAATTTTAGTCTTTAATTTGCGAGTCTAATACGAGGCATACCGAGTCTATCACCTGAGTGGGTGGTGGAGAAGCCTTGCTACCTGACGCCGGGGACAACGCGAAGGGTCTGGCAGCTGCAGTGACGGGCATCTGCCGTTGCGCCAGCCAGCCCGGGCACGGCCAGCGGTCGACTGTGAGCCTTGTCAGCGATTGGGGCTACCGGTGCAGGACACGCTGGAGGAGCGTGGACCTGCAATCCTCGCTCAAGTCCTTGGGACAGTGCATGCAGATGCGTGGCTAGCTGCAGAGACTGCTGCCCTTAACCTCACCTGTGCGAAGGGAGGTGATGTTTGGTGCTCGCTCACGGAGTGAGCATCTAGCGGTTGGTTGCCTGGTAACATATCGCATCTAATTGTAACATCACTTAATCACATCATTATTAAGGGGGGTAATTACACTTTAGAGGACGTATACGTTAGTTGATTATACACCGAGACATTGAGATTTTTCTTTATCATATATTGGTTGGTACGGTTGCGTCCGTCGATTGCGTATTTTTCATGTATACTGCAGAAGAATAATGATGCAGAGTTGACGTGATTGTGACACCAGTTGATGCTTTGATCTATTAAATACTCAGCGTTGTAGTGTACAGAGTGGTCTATTTCTGTTTCACGAGTGGTATTGCTTGACAAAACCTGCACTGCTGGACGGATCTATGAACCTGGTGACCATTGTGGAAAAGGTCTTACAATTGATGTAAGAAAACCCCTAGACACAAGCTTGCGAGAATTAATTAAATGAAATAATAGATTAAGACCCTCCACATACAACAGCTCCGGTCGGCTGCCAGTAGCTAGTACATGATGTGAAGAGACGGTATTCACATCTGCTTCTCAGCGTTCACATTCAGTAGGAAAGGCAGATCCCCACAAAGTACAGATGGAGGTAGGGCAGCCATGCGGAGAACGTGTTCTCGGTATGACCTGATGGAATTCGGAGAGGGAGTTCATAGTAATATCTGGTGCTTTCCTAATATGAATGAGATCATTTGTGATGGATTTTTTTTATGTATATACCGAATATAGAATACACAAATGCTGTGCTTTTTACACACGTTTGTATATTTGAAACTCGCGGTTTTTCAGCCCGTACTATAGATGAGGTTTTCTTGTCACAGATTTCAGTATTAGATGTTGCTATGGGTGTTCTGAAGCTTTCTTTAAGTACAAATTCATGGATTTGTTTAATCTTTTAGTGTCTTATTTGCTGTGTAAAAGCGTCCGTGTGCTATCTTGTATTATATGTATTGCCCAATTGCGTCAGAACACTGCAAAACAATTTTCATAAATGATTTTAAAAAATCAATCACGCCTGCGGAGCAAAGGCCAATAGTGCCAAGCAGCCAGCAGCAAACTGCACGATAACAGTTCTCATAAATGAGCTCACGCGTTTCTTGAAATGACACGAGCGTGGAAAAAAGAGACTGATGATGATGGCAGGATGGAATTCCCAAGTGGAGCAGTGCGAGTGGCATATCATAGAAATAGATGTGTTGTGAACTTCAGCGTGGTTGTTGAATGATGCAGCTGCTAGGAAATCCCATCACATGTACGATCCAATGGATGCATCGTGACCAACAAATCATTACAGTACATGCCTACTGAGTGTGCAATGTTGTGTTTACAGGCAGCAAGCAACGGCGTTTATTCAGGATTCCGGCTCGGCTGGAATGAACGTCACCATATTCTTGGCTCTTTCAGTAAAGTCACGTAGATAGGTTCAAAGAAAATAATCGAAAATAACAGAAAGACCGATCTACCACGTGACTTTACCGAAAGACCCAAGAATATGAATTCCTGCAGTCACGAAAGCTTTAAGTCAAGAACGTCACCATGTTCAACGCGTGCTTTGTTCAACATTTTACTTCAACAAACATGCAAACTCCAACTCACGCCACTCTCTGGCCTCAAGGGAGCATAAATACTGCAATCCCATCGCACGCACGGTCGCGTCTCGATGCCAAGCGTCAACGTCACACAACATGCACGTCTCTTGACACGTCTCGGTGAAGAGGACGACACAACCCTGCCGGGAAACGTCTCTTGAAGATACACACCGAGGCTGCGTGGCCCGTTGCCGGTCTAAACACAAGTTTCAAAGGTTACGTGAAAAAGAAATTACTGTAAATGGATCAGTGCATTGATGTATTCAGATGCATTGGGAGTGCCGTCGAATTTACTTGAGTGTCCTAATGATGAACTTGAACCGTTAATTTAAATCCACTTTTCTTTCTGGATTCGAAGCTTTCGTGACTGCAGGAATTACTCTTTGGTTCTTTCGGTAAAGTCACGTAGAAAATAAAACAATAATAGAATACAATTATTATTTTATTTTCTACGTGACTTTACCGAAAGAACCAAAGAGTAGTTACTTTGTGAACACAACTTGAAGCGCACGCCACAGCCCGAGTACGTATTGTTGTTATGGGGGTCGTGACATTCTCAAAACCCCCCTTTTACCGAGTCCAACAGCGAGATGTCACCCCC